GTTTTTTAATTTATTGATTTCCATAGATTCTAACAAAGATACTTAAGGCCTTTATTTTGAATGTGAAGAATTTTAAATTTGTCATTAAAAGAATGATTATGATCTAGAAGGTGAAGTGCGTATGTCGAATCTGTTTTTCTATTATTGAAAGCCCTTTTATGTTCTGCTATTCGTTTATTAAAGTTTCTACCAGTTTGACCGATGTAAGTTTTTAGGCAGTCGCCACATTGAAGTTTGTAGACACCACCATTTAAGTGTTTTTTATTTTGGCTCTTGTTATTTTTAATACATTTGCCTAGGTTGTTATTTGTTCGGAAAGCTGGTGTTATCCCTTTCTTTTTTATGCGTTTGGCAATTTTTGTTGTTATTTTGCCTGTATATGTAATCGAGCAGAAGGTACTGGGTTTTTCTCTGGTGGTGGAAATACTAATTTCAGGGCTTTCTTGTGTAGTTTTAGATTTAACATTTTATTAATTGTTTGTTCGTTGTATCCGTTGTTTACTGCTATTTGCTTAATTACATTTAGTTCTGTCTCAAAGTTGTATTTTGACATCGGAATTTCTGTTAATCTATGTAACATACTATGATAAGCTGCCAGTTTATGTTGTGTTGGATGGGATGATGAATTGTGTATACTCGTGTCAGTATGTGTAGGTTTATGAAATATGGAGAAGTCATGTTTGTTTTTAAGTCTGATAATTTTTATATCTAAAAAATTTATGGATTGATTTGTTCGTTCTATTGTAAATTCATATGACTATGATGAATTAATACGATAAAAATTGGTCGAGTTGCCTGTTAGTTCCTGTGAAACATACCAGTACGTCGTCTACGTATCTCCACCAATATAGAAATTGTTTGAATACGGGATGTTTTGAAATCTTTGTCTCTAGATGGTCCATAAAAATAGCTAATAGTAATGGGCTTAGAGGATTGCCCATTATAAGTCCTGCACTGATATTTGTATATATTTGATCATTAAATTTAAAGTAGTCCTGGTTTATGCAAACTTCAAGAAGATGTAAAATTTCAGATGTAATTATTGGATTTGTACTATTTTGGTCTAAAAGGTTTTTTACTAGAAAAAAAGTTTCTGTAGGAGGCATACTAGGAAAAAGATTTTTTACGTCAAATGAAATTAATCTGGAGTTGTTAGGTAATTGAAAATGTTGTATTTTATTAACTAGTTCTATTGTATTTTTTATGGTAAATTTAGGTGAAAATTTAGTGTGTTCTAAAATAATCTCTAGCAGTTTTTTTGAAAGTTTATATGATGGAGCTGTATAAAAAGAAACTACAGGTCTTATTGGGTGATCCGGTTTGTGTAGTTTAATGAAAGAGTATAATTTAGGAGGCTGTGGGTTTATGATATTAAGGTATTTCTGTTCTATTGGATTTACTATTGATTTTGAATTTTCTAACGCTAGCTTAATTTGTTTTTGATATTTTTCTGTCGGATCTTTGTGTAAAGTTTCAATATTTTGATTATTTAAGAATTCTATTGTTTTGTTATTATATTCTATTTTATCTATAGCAATAGTAGTGTTGCCTTTGTCTGTTTTGTAGACACAATGTTGTTTTCTATTGATTTATTTTTAATTGAAATCTGCTGACAATTTTGAGTCTGTATTATGCTCTAAATTTTCACACTGGTCTATATCATTGTCGTCTTCGTCTTGTAAACCAGGTTTATTTTCATTCTCCTCGGTTTCAATTTCTATCTAACCAAGCCAAAAGTTGTGTCTCTTAGGCTGAATCCCTAATAAAATTCGCAAGTAGTATAATTTCCGCGGTGACGTTAGAACAACATGACTAAAATACAACAATTTCTTTCCACGGTTGTTTGCGCCGCGCCACTGAGCGCGCCTGCTCAGCTTATGCCTGAACAACAAATTAATATTTAGTGGTGAAATATTTATGCTTGTCGGCAAAGTTTTTACACGTAAGTGTCTCACTACGTAGTACTATTAGAGATTATACTAAGTCTGAATGCCGGTTGTTTTCTGAATACTTTTGTAGCCTTAAAAATAATTCCACCAGAGCACTTCGGAATAATACTGCTGCTTTTTGAAGTATATTCTGTTATATTTTTATGTATCTATGATCAACTTTCACGTTTTTGCCGTGTAAGTGCCCACTAAGCACTGTTTCATTAAACACTAAGCCAGTGGTTCTCAAACGGTGTTCCGCGGAACACTAGTGTTCCGCGAATTCCTTCCAAGTGTTCCGCGAAATACTCGCAATCCTACATACCATTTTGCTAAATTACTCTTTTCAAATAAATATTTTCAAATTTTAAAATAGCCACTTACGTACATTTTAATTTAATAAAATTCTGCAGCGTAAATGTTCATTTGCCCAACGTGACAACACCGCGTCGGCACAGTGCACACGTTGGATTTTATAAGCGCTGAGCGCTGAGCTCCGCAGTGGCCACAGCCAATCTGAGTCACCCACGCCACAGTCTGCAACTGAATGTTGAATTTGTTACATTGCACAAACGTAATACGTGAAAATCGCTGTGTCAGTTTTTTTATGATAACGTTTACGTACGGCTTATCTATCAAAGGTAAGTAATTGCATATTTTATACAAAATGTGAAGCATTCATCCGCATTATTTTGTTTAGAGACGAATAAATTAAAATGGATAAGTTCCTCAAACTTAAAAGAAAAACTACTGTGGAACAACTCATAATTAATGATGATGAAGCGAGCACCAGCGGAGATACTGGAACTTTACGAAGTGGGGTTGATGACAAATCGAAGCGCAGCAAAAAAATGTTGAACCGGCAATATTTGGATGAATATTTGGATTATGGCTTCATTTGGACTGGGGAAGAAGACTGTCCAATTCCCAAGTGTATTGTTTGTGGGCAGACACTCGCTAATAGCGCAATGGCTCCGGCTAAATTAAAACGCCATTTTACTACCAAACACGCTAGTGTAGCTTCAAAAAATAAAGATTATTTCAAGCGACTTTTGGAGACACAAGCGAAACAATTTGAAAGGTCGCTAACAATTTCCGACAAAGCACAAATAGCTTCATATAAGGTCGCCGAATTAATTGCTTTGAAACAGAAACCACACACTGTTGCAGAATCTCTTATATTACCAGCATGTTGTGAGATGGTCAAAATTATGTTTGGCAACGATGCACAAAACGAAATACGGAAAATTCCTATGTCGGATGATACAATAAGAAGGAGGATTGTTGATTTATCTGCAGATATTGAGGAAAAAGTTACAAATAAACTTTACAAAAAAAACTTCGCATTGCAGGTGGACGAATCCACTGATATTAGTGGCAAAGCTCATTTATTAGGATTTATTCGATTTGTCGACGAAGGTGAAATAGTCAATCAGTTTTTATGCTGCAGAGAACTTACAGCACGTACAACAGGTCAGGATGTATTTGATTCCATAACGTCATATTTAGAGAAAAAAAATATATCATGGGACTTTTGCGTAGGAATTTGTACGGATGGTGCCCCTTCCATGGTAGGCTCCATAAAAGGTTTTTGTACCCTTGCAAAAAAGCGAAATGAAAATATCATATCTACGCACTGTTTCTTGCATAGAGAATCTCTAATTTCAAAAACGCTACCAGCTACTTTGAAATCTGTATTAGACCAAGTGGTTAATGTCGTGAATTACATCAAATCAAGACCACTAAAAACCCGTCTTTTTAAACAACTCTGCATCTCAATGGAATCAAAGTATGAATGTTTGTTGCTGCACACCGAAGTTAGATGGTTGTCAAGGGGCAAAGTATTATGTCGAATTTATGAACTTAGAACGGAGCTGTTAACTTTTTTCCAAGAAGAAGGTAATGACACATTTACCACATATTTTGAAAATGATGCATGGTGCACTAAAGTGGCATATTTGGCCGATATTTTTAATTATTTAAATGGCGTTAACTCAAGTATGCAAGGCAAAAATGAAAATATTTTAACATCCACGGACAAGCTGTCAGCTTTCCAGAAAAAATTGTCATTTTGGAAGAAGCGCATTTTAGAGACAAATAAAATGGATATGTTTCCACTGCTTCAGAATGAAGGTGATGAAGATAAAGAACAAGAAATCACGCATATAGTTACAGAACACTTATCACTATTAGAGGAGACAATTGCCAGGTATTTTCCATCTCTGAACGTAGAAAAATATGACTGGATAAGAAGTCCTTTTAGCACAAGTAATACAGCCAATTTCCAGTTTTCTCTGAACCAAGAAGAAGAATTTATTTCGTTGTCATCTGATCGTACTCTGAAAATTAAGTTTTCAGAAGTGAATGTTCAGGAATTTTGGATCTTGGTCCAAGAGGAATATCCACTTCTTGCCAAAAAAGCGATTAGTATTTTAATACAGTTTTCAACGTCCTATTTATGTGAATTTGGGTTCTCATCTTTAACAAACATTAAAAATAAGAAACGGGAAAGGCTGCTAAACTTAGAACAAGAAATGAGAGTAGCTCTTTCCCACATCAGGCCTGATATTGAGCAAATTTGCAAACGACACCAGGCACAAGTGTCTCACTAATTTGAAGTATTTACTCATATGATGTATTTTGAGAATTACGCTTTTGTTAATTTTAAAAATGTTTTTTGTTTTCATATTTTAAGTAAAATTTTACAAATTTGAGTACGTATAATAAAGTTTATTACAGAATTTATGTGCTAATCCTAATTTGTTTATCAATATATGCATGTTATTGCTTTGGTGTTCCGCAATTTTTTTCGGTAATTAAAAGTGTTTCGTCGCCACAAGAAGGTTGAGAACCACTGCACTAAGCACTTTAAAGAATATCATCTCTGTGTAACGAAAAAGTACGGAGAGCAACATGAAGATTCTTGAACGAAGTCCTTGGAAAATGCTAATAGATGTATTAAGAAAATATATGATTGCAAAAAGTATAAGTTTAATATCATATCAAAGTATAAAAAATTCTTTTAACAAATTACATCTTTGGATAGTCATCTTTAACAAACAACTATTGCATCTAGTATCCATGTCCATGCCCACCTTCACTTCCTTGATTTGCCCAGTGGGTGACACCAACGTAGCTGGTGGCTCCACCGTGTCCACCATGTCCGTGTCCTCCATGACCGTGACCGTAGTGGGCGGGATGTTGGGCATGACCTACTCTTTCAACAACAGCTTCGAATCCATTGTGAGGTGAAGATTTATATTTGACAACTCTGTGGGTTCCATCGGCTTCTTTGAGGGTGTATCCTCCAGTGACGTCATGGCCATGTCTGTGTTCGTGTTGAGATTTATGGTCGTGGGTGTGAGGATCATGAACTCCATACTCGAACTTGTAATGAGCATTATCCTGAAAATTGTTAAAGATGGTTAATTTAATGATGAATGATTTCAAAAATTGTCAGTTTTATAAATTATTATTTTCAATCAAAGTAAAAGATAAATTTGACAATGTCGTGGGTATGCTAGACATTATGAATGGCTTTTAATCTAGGATATAAATTTATATGGCTTGAATAATAAATAAAATTATAATTTAAAAGGAAAAGTCCCAGTGGTCGGCTGTATACCATGGTTTAAAACAACTTACAATTAAGTAAAAACTAAATAGTTGAAACTGAGTTATAAAAAATGGTATAAAATTTTATTATTATAATTTTTGCCCTGAAAGGCAAAGACACTAAGTTTTTTTTATTAGGATATTTTGCAAGTTTCAACCTATTTTACATCTTAAAAAAAACCTTCGAGAAACAGGCATAGAGATTTAAATAAAAAAAAAGTGATTTTAATAAATTTGGCTATAAAGGTATAGCAATACTTATATGGAATTATATATATATATATATATATATATATATATATATATATATATAATATGAAAGATAATTTAAATGTCTTCCAGTATAAGGTATAAAATATAGGGTCTGCAATTTAAAATAAGAATATTCTTGAATGTCATATGTAGGTCAAATTCAACTAAAATAATAAAACATCCTGTGTGATGAAATAATTAAAATTAAAATTTTAATTTTAATTAAAGAATTATACTGTCTTGCAACCTTAAAACAAATTTCGCAAAAAAACTTTGTAATAATCTTTTACAGGATGGGCCATCCTGTATATTTGATATTTATTTTACTTACATGTCCATGACCTGCAAAGGCTGCAGCAATCACGAAGAAAAAGAGAAAAGCAATCTGAAAATATACTAATATTAATAAAATATTATTACTTATTTATAAACACTTAAAATAATGGACACCAAGGATTATTAGAATAATTTTGAATTACATATAAAAAACTATAGACAATTCTAACAGTTCCGTAGTTTTCGTCAAACACATGGATCAAAAACTCAAAATTTATTAAAAATGTACAAAATACTGAACTAACTACCTAAAATTGAAAAATTAATTTTCAAATTTAAAGAAAATATTTAACAAAATTATACGAATATATATAGTGTATCCTCACAACGGAAAACTTGTGTTTTTGTGTGGTTTTTCTTTGCCAACCATAGATAGAAAAAAAAATGACTACAAAGATTCTAATCATAGCAAATCTTCCACAGGAAAGTTAAACTATATAAATTTATTTAAGATAAACATCGCATATTTTTAACAGCTTAACAATTAATATCTAGGACACATAATGCGCCATAAGGAATTTGAGCAGCTCCAGGTAATATTAGAAGGCAAAATCAAGGGGAAAAGGGGTATAGGAAGAAAGAAGAAATCCTGGCTCCGAAACATCAGAGATTGGACTCACACAACAGGAAATGACTTAATCCATCAAGCCCAGAACAGAGAGAAATTTGCCATATTGATCGCCAACCTCAATAGAGAAGGCACTTAGGAGGAGGAGGAACAATTAATAACATTTTTTTTTTTTGAGAAATTAAATTTAGAGGCTGCAAAAGTCGGCACATCTCAAGAAATTATCATCATGGGAGACTTAAACAGCAGAACTGAAAAAAAAACCCATAACGCAGTTATAGGTCAATTCGGATAGGTAAATGATAATGGTACCAGACTAATATCATTATGCGAACAAAATGAAATGAAAATTGCAAATGGATTTTTTCAACACAGAGACATACACAAATACACATGGACGCAAAATACGAGAGGATTAAAATCAATCATAGACTACACAATTATACGACAAAAGACAAATATAATTGTGCAAGGTATAAGAGTATTTAGAGGAGCTACCTGTAGAAGCGATCATCACTTATTAAAAGCTACAATCACATTTGACATAAATAAACCTAAAGAAGAAAAAAAAAAGAAATGAAAGGAAGAAATTAATACAGAGAGGTATAACCTAATCTGCTAAGAACAGAAAGCATGAGCGCATTATACAGAAATATAATAACATTATACAGATTAAATCAAAAGTTAAAAAATAAACAATTTAATAATAATAAAGAACATTACACTCACATAAACAGGTGTCTCCAGGAGGCAGCAACAGAAGCCATTGGATACCAAATCCAAAATCAAAGAAAACTTCCATATTGGTTTGACGAAGAAATGCAACAAGAAATAAAGAAGAAAAGAGACCAATATCAAAAATTCTTAAATATAAAGAATATAACGGATAAAATAATCTACAAGGAGTCTCAAGCTAAAGTACGAAAAATGATAAGTCGGAAGAAAAACGAAGCATGGCAACAAAAGTGTAACATGATAAATTCACATCACTGTATAGGTTAGGAGGACGAAGAAGCACAGAAATTTGGAGAGTCTTAAAATCTTTACGACAAGATAAGAAGAGAGATATAGTGTCATCAATAACAATGGATGACTGGGAGCAATATTTTAAGAAACTCCCGAGGAAAGATAGACCACAATTTAAAGACAGCAATGAAACACAAATTATAAATATTTTAACTTCACTCATACGAATAACAACGAAAGAATTGGAAGATGCATGTAGATATCTAAAAAATAACAAAGCACCGGGTCCAGGTAATATCATTGCAGAGTTAATTAAATACGGTACAACCAAACTATATACAAGTTAAGCCAAACTGTTCCAAAACTGCATTAATGGAATAACAACCCCAGAGGAGTGGAAGACATCATTCATATCCACTATACACAAAAAAAGCAGAAGGGATGAATATGACAATTGTAGCGGCATTGCCGTGACAAACTTGGTCAGTAGAATATACGGAAAAATAATTAAAAACAGAATAGAAAGCGAATATAGACTTAGAGGCTAAGGAATAGGCATAATTTAGGGCAGGTAGATCTACTGTTGACCATTTGTTTTGCATTACACAGATTATTGAAAAGAAAATAGCCGTTAATGAAGAAGTACATTTATTGTATGTAGACCTACGAAATTCTAATGATAGCGTATCACGTATAAATTATGGAAAGCGTTAGAGAAAACAAGCATAAGGATGAATTTAATAAATGCGACGATAGGACTGTACGCTAATGCTAACTCCAAGGTAAAGGTTGGAAATAATCTGTCAAGTGGATTTCAAATGAATAAAGGTCTTAAGCATTGCTGCTGTCTCTTCCCGACATTATTTAAAATTTATCTAGAACAGGCTCTAAAACTGTGAAAACGAATGGGAATGCCGATTAAAAACAATAACATATACACTTTGTCATTTACAGATGATTATCTAGTAATAGCACAAGATTATGAAGATAATGAGTATATGACATCGAAAATTAATCGAGGAGTATAAAAAATGGGGACCTGAAATCAATATTCAAAAAACCGAGTATATGTGTATCGGCGGAGAAACAACAGGACCTCATATTGGAAGATGGAGAAGTTATCAAACATTGCAATACATATAAATATTTAGGTATCATCATCACAAAAGAAGCAAAAGTAGACGACACAATTGAGGAGAAAAACTATCCAAGCAAGAAAAGCAATTTCCCTTCTCAATAGTATCCTTTGTGATCAATCATACTCTAATAATAACAAGCACATACTATATAATACAATCATTAAAAGTATAATTACCTACAGGGTGAAATATGGCAAATAAAGGAAAGATACAAGAGAAAACTTAAGGTAACGGAAATAGATTTGGATTTCTGGAGACGCTCAGCTCGAAAGTCTAGACCAGAAAGAGTTACAAACAACAGAATATGAGAAATTATGAAAGCCAAACATACAATAGTAGACGATATTGGTACCAACAACTCAGATGATACGGTCATGACCCCTTACGGTAGAAAAAAAGGGGAAGGCCCGCCTTAGTTGGAGAGAAGGTATCAATAGAGAAATGAAAGATAAAGAGATAGAGAAGAACTTATGGATGGATGGAGATGAGTGGCAACTAGGTATCGGAAGACGTAGAGAACTTTTTAAACCGATCTATATATTATATACAATCAATAACATAAACGTATATAACGTAAATATATTAAAATGCATAAATTATTATTTAAAAAGCTTCTTTTTCTTAAAGTACATATACTTACAGAATTCATATTATTTTTATTGTTTTGTTGTAGTAAAACAAAATTTAATACAATTTCCTACCTGAACGTAGTTTATATATCTAAAATTTTTGTCCCACTCTTTGTATTACAAAACTTACGACATATCAATAATCTTGTACGATCTGCTTCATTGGTTCCATTTTTACCAAATATATAATTAGTATTGTAAACGAAACTAGCAATACTTTTTACGTTATAAAATAGTACTTTTAATAATAATTCTAATATAAAATAATGTTAAGATTTTATTTATAGATTATATAGGTAGATGTATGTATAATATGTTAGTGTTAGTGTTAGTACCATTTAACATCTTCAGAGTTAACACAACTTGGGAAAATAAGCCTGAACTGTGTAATTTAATCTTTTTCCGTCGACCGTCTATTTATGATCAATTTTAACACTCTCAAAATCATTGATTAATGACCCCTATTAATGAATGATGCTCTATTAATGAACGATTTCATTATAGGCAACACAACATACATTGCTTGTATAAATTAATTACACGCTCTGTGATTGACAGTGACCTGTGGTGTAGGCAACCAAACATATACCTATTTATATTCCCACTAAAAAATTTAAAATGAAGTAGCTGCAGTTAATACTATTAGTCATTTATGTCATTATTTACTTTATTTTTAAAAATTATGCGTATTTGAAAAATTAAAAGATGGATATTGACGTAAAGTTTGAAGAAGTGGCAGAAACTGCAAATGAAATGCCTTTGAGTTTACTACCTGAAAAAAGCAGAGTGTTGTACGAAAAACATACGCTGAATTTATTGCATGGTGTGACGAGAGAAAAATAATACGATATTCAGAATCTGTATGTGTTGACATATTTTTCAAACATTGCCGAAAAAGGACTAATATCAAGTTTGTGGCCCAAATATTTGATGCTAAAATTAACCTTAAGTTCAAATCAAACATTAATATATTTAAATATAATAAGGTAATTATGTTTATCAAGAAAAAAGAACAGGTTATGTACAAAAGAAATCAGAAACACTTGAAAAAGAACAAGTCCAGAAATTCATCTCTGATGCTCCTAACGACGTGTTTCTAATGATAAAGGTAAACCAGTAAATTAAGTTTATATATTTAATACTCATATTTTGTAACATTACATTTTGTAGGTTGCATTGATTTTCAGAGTGGCTGGTGCATTAAGAAAGGACGAACTATTGAAATTAAAAACAAACAACGTTCCAGACTTGGGGTCAAAGTTTCTTGTCACAATAAAAGTATCAAAAACATACACAAATAGAATATTTACCATAGTAGATAACAAAGCAAATACCATTCTCAATGCAATCAAAAACTATATTTCTTTAAGACCGGCACACACACACTACATAAAAGATTTTTCATTTTTTATAAAAATAACAAATGTTCCACACAGCCAGTTGGCATAAATACGTTTTCCAAAATTCCTTCAGTTATTGCTAAATTTTAAAAATTAGAGCACCCGCATCTCTACACTGGGCATGTTTAGACTTTCTCTGCCCATACTGTTGACAGTGGTGCAGACTTTTCAGCTATTAAAAGACTAGGTAGCTGACAATCGACTGCTGTAGCAGAAGGTTATATAGATAATTCTATGCAGAATAAACTTGAGACGGCTGAAAAACTTTTGGCACAAAATACCACTAAACCTTGTCAAAGTACTTCCTTCAGCACCACCGCTTCTTCTTCTATCACAGAATTTAACAGAGGTCCAAGAAGACAAATATAAATTTATATAGAAGACAATTATAAAAAATGCTATACAGCAGATAAATAATCATTTATTAATAACTTCCTTTAATTTTAGTAATTCTACCATTTCGAATATTAATGTTTACAATAATAAAACTACCACTAAGGCAAATTAACTTTGAATAAAGTTAATGAAAGTTAAGAAATTGTTGTTTATCGTCAAGTAAATAAAAATATAAACTAAGATATCTTTATTTCTGAAAAGTACGGTCGACGAAAAAGTTTTGTAACGAACTCGTGAATTAAAATGTCGATTACCAATCTCGAACCATTCGATATAAATTGCCATACTGAAGTAGCTTAATCTTAAATAAAAACCTTGATATTATAAAGATGACCGACACTACCACACAGCAGAAAAATAGTCAGCCGCTAGTTGGTGAATGGTCAGTAAAAAATAACAAATATGCCAGTAATGACCATTGTGGAGTGTAATTTTCCTCATCAACGAATTTCCTTCTAAATTTTCATTTGGTTCTTCTTACTCTTCCTACTTAATTTTTGAACTTAAGCTTAGGGTTGCTTTTACTTGAGCGGGAAAGAACATCCGTTGAAAATAAGTCCGGAAATAAATAGTCGATAGAAAAGTCGATAATTTTTGAGTTATTTGCGAGTGAAATGTTTATTTTTCAAAAGAAACAAAATTCTTACGAATAACTCTTAAAGTATGTATTTTAGTAAAAAAATATATTCTTAACCAGTAGAAGCTGAGTTGTAGCTTATGAAAAGTAGGTTCTTGTTTGTTAAATTCCAAATCGAATATTTTAAAGAAATAACCAAAAAATTAAGCATTTTTTTGGAGAAAAACGCATCAAAACTTTTTTAAGGTGTTTAAAAAAGCAATATTTTTGTTTTTTAAAAATTTTCTAGCATTAAACTAGCTATAAAGTTGGTTCCTTTTTTTGGTAAAAAAATGGTAAACATCACCTCGTAATTAGCACCAAAATGAAATTAATCATTATCGTTTTACTGTTTACTTTATTTTTGTATTATATATCTGTAAGCTTCACTGGTTTAAAATGCTTATTTTTAAAAAGATTTGGTTTTAAATTTAAAAAAAATTTGAAATTTTGAAAAATATGCGATTTTTCAAAATAACTGTATGTATCAGTAAAAAAAACAAAAGTTTTACTTTTTTAAATATTTTGGTTTCTTTGTTTTTCTGTAAGACAAAAGTTGTCACGATATGGCTATTGAAAAGTTTGCATACACTTGTCATTAGTGACTCGTTCAAGCCTCCAACTACAATTCTTTCAAAAATGAGGGTTTAAAAAAACTTGGTTTAAATGATCTTTGTTCTTTGATTTTTCAAGAAAAAAACTATAAAGTGCTTTTCTTAAAGGCTAACCAAGTTATGAGTAAAAAACCAATCACTCATTTTAAGAGGTATCAGAACGCGTATACTAGATCATTGTAAGATACACATAATGTGCTATTAAGGCAGACATACTTTTACCCATTGTTACAATATATTTATATATATACATATATTGTCGTACGGCCGTAGCATCCTCTGAGGTATTCGGAGATTTTGGATGGCCCGACTCTGGGAGGAGGATCGTTTTTTTGACTCAATCCTCGTGTTCGTGGAGTTTATGTGACCTAGGCTTTCGCTTAGCAAGTAGTTTATCAGGGACTCTGCGGTCGACAAGATGCCACCAGTAACCTTTTGAGGTTTATTGCTTACGTGAATTTGTCTTGTATTTGTTTATTATTCTAAGCACAGTGTATGCTTTGAGTCTTATAGAGATGCCGGGCATTTCATACCTCGCCGTGTAGTCACGTTCAAACTCCTCGAGAGGTACAGAACGTTGGCAGAGTGTTGACTCTTCGATGGCCCTTCACTCCGTATCGCCACCTCTAGAGAAATAATTTGTAGTCGTGTAAAAACAGTTACTATTTCTACAAGAGGTTTTTGGTGGCGAAGTGTAACCGCAGCTCGACCACCGAGTGAGAAGTAATTCCAAGCCCACTTGGGGCTTTTATTAACTTCTGACCATCAGTGAAGCAGTAGAACGCTGTATCAGTTCGATACAATCTGAAATAGCTATAAGACAACCTGTCTTTCCTATCTCAAATACTGGCTCTATCTGGCCAGGAAACGTTCTCTTTGAGCTGTTAGGGAGCTTCTGCTAGGTAATTATAAGTCTGTTGCCAGTCTTTATTTTACCTTGACAGAAGGTATGCCGTCAGTCAACAATCGCCGAGTTCTTGTACACCCTTGTAGTTCGAACGATATCGTAGCCACACTGACTTCATATTCATTCAACCACTAAAGAAATTTGGATACGTCTTCACTTCGATGTCTTCTTAGACCGAAGAATGGTTTACTCAGGTAATAATAAAATTCAGAATCATAGTAAAGGCACTCGGACAATCAGATCCCGTTAGCACACACAATCACGCGAGGCGATCAACCCTACCCCTAGGGACATGTGTATACTACTGTAAGCGTGGAATCCACATGTCCGAAAATCAAAACCGGTCACACCTCACTAGTTGAAGTAGTAACCTATCTGACACCAGGCTTTTCCTCCACTCCTCCTCAGCGTGTGACTTACGTGAGGAGGCTTATGATCTGAATGTTACGTAAGGTGTCTTGGGTAATGAGACACCTTCTGTTTTTAATGACTGTGGTTAGGCCACTTAACTATAGGGGTAGCAGAAATGTCGGCTTTTCTCCCTATTTAACTTACTGACTCTATAGAAGTTACTCTAGCTTTACTTCGGGGACTCATGTCCCTAAAAAAAGCGTGTGTTCCAGACAGAGAGCCATCGGTCTTGACTATCAGCTCTCTGTCTGGAAAAGAATGTGTGTGCTCGTTCACTCAGTCGCCGATTTGACAAAATAAAAATTTTGTTTTCCTCGCCGGCTGGGTGTTCGAGAAGTGAGTCCTGGCCACTAAGCCCAAGCTTGCCGCACATGACCTCGATGCTCAGAGTCCGCGTTTGATCAATATTTGATCTGCCTGAAGGGCCTATGCTGCTGGCTGGTATAGAGTGCCTGACGGGCCTTTTATATATTCTTATTTGTGTTATGTAAATTTTTTGATGTACCGGGTGTTCTTGTTTATCTTGAAGATGACATGACATTAATTAGACAGCGAGCGATTTTTGTTTTTTAAAACTAAGTCTATCTATGCTAATATCTTAACTATGGAGTGTGCATTCCCAAGTGTATAACGCTCTCACACACTCCGTGTATATGTTTTTTGTGTTTTTTGTTTTCCCTATTCTAATCTAAACCTAATCTAATCTAAGTGTGCTAAGATCCCGTTAGGAAGATGTGCTTTCTTTTTATAAACTTTGTGTTTGGACTTTAACAGCAATCTTTCGCCGGAAGGCCAATGACAATTTATGCGCATTTCTTGTTCCCTCAGATTAATCGGCGTTCTGTCAATGTAAAGTAGATATCTCAGCCTGAAAATAAGTTCCTGTTTATCCAGTTGCTTACCTATATCCATAAGTCCTCTTCAACCTTGATATCGTGGTAATGTAACTACTGCAATGCAAGAATGTTGTTTTTGTGCCTTTGTGAGAACTGTTACTTTCCGCTATATATCTGTTTTTAACCACTTTATAATACCAAATGAGTAACTCAGCGAGGAACAAGCGTACTTACTTAATGCTTTTTACTTACTCTTCCGTCTTACTCTTCGTACGAACTCGAAGTTAGTTCGGCTTTTATTTGCTTATGGTCAGTTTTCTGCTCTTTCTTTACTCCGAAAAATTTGTACATATTATTTTCACCCATCTTCTATATCAAAATCTCTAGGCTGAACCTTTTCTCTGACCATATTTAATATACGGCACTTGTCTAGTCCAAAATTTTAAAGATGTCCAAAATGATAAACATTAGTATTATTATTAAATTAACCTTTTACCAGTAGAAATTTAAGCACTAAAGTAAGAAAAAGTTATTTAAAACATCATTTATTCTGCGTTAGTATAACAAAAGTATAAAAAACTATAATTAGAACACTTAGTATCCATGACCGTGCCCTCCTTCACTTCCTTGGTTCGCCCAGTGTGTAACACCAACGTAGCTGGTAGCTCCACCATGCCCACCATGGCCGTGTCCACCATGCCCATGACCATGACCGTAGTGAGCAGGATGTTGGGCATGACCTACCCTTTCAACAACAGCTTCGAATCCATTGTGGGGTGAAGATTTGTATTTGACAACTCTGTGAGTTCCATCGGCTTCTTTGAGGGTGTAACCTCCAGTGACATCATGGCCATGTCTGTGTTCATGCTGTGATTTGTGGTCGTGAGTGTGAGGATCATGAACGCCATACTCAAATTTGTAGTGAGCATTGTCCTAAAAACGGGAATAGCAAGGTTATTGAATATATCACGCTATAATTTTAAAACAACAGAAATAACAAAAAAATAAATATTTAGATAAAATTACCAAAGAAAGCATGTAACCAGAAATGAAGTTAGAAATAAATTTCGAATTATCGTTACAAGAACAAGTAAACATACCCACACAAAAACGATAAGAAAATAGCTTTATTGGTGGCAACAGTACGTTATTACAAATCCAGCATGATCTTATTTAACTTTTTCTTCTTCTTTTTTCTCTTTAACTGCTCGGAATATAGATGACGGCCTATCAATTTACTATTTAAGCATAAACTCGTTTTAGACAGAAAAATTATACTATTGTTAACTATTACGAAAATATTACAGAAAAACGAAAATAATGGTATAAAAGCACCCTTTTTTTGATCCTTAGGTTTTCCTTTAATGTTTAAATCTAACCTGTCTGAGGTATACCTTATATTGTTTATTAAAATGAACTTATCGGCCCCTGGGCAAAAACAGGTTCATCCTTTTGTAAAATCCATTAAATGGAATTAGTTTCTGGCTGGATGGTTATGTACCCTAAGACAAAAAATATTTTACTTAATAACAAATTAATATGTTAAGAATAAACCATTACCAGGTTTGCATTGTAGGAAATCAAGGATTGTAAGAATTCCAGATTAATTCCGTCAAAACATACCCGGGGGCAGACCTAAATTCTGATCATGTACCAGTTGTGAGTTATTTTAAAGTCAGAACGAAGTAAGTTACAACAAGTCGATGAAGAAGTATGACGTTAGAAATCTGAAAGATTCCAATGTTTGACTGAAGATAAGTGAAATACAAAGGTGCTAAAATGCAGAAATGTAGGAACTATAGAGAAAGGTGGAACTATCATACAAGAAACAGTGAGAGAAACAAAAGAACAATACCTGAAGAAAGATACAGAGAAACAGAAATAGTGTATGACCGATAAAATACTTGAACGTATGGATCAAACAAAGAAAATCTCCAAAAATATAAAGGAATACATACCATGGTCAGAAGAAAGATAAAAGAAGCTAAAGCAAACAAAAAACAGAACAATGTAAGAAATAGAGAAGTATCAGAGTCTTTATGATAACTTTAATGTTCATCCGATGGTAAAGGAAATGTCTGAAAAGTTCGGAAAACGCAACAGCGGAAAAATAATAGATGGTGAAGGCAATCTTGCCATAACCAAAGAAAATAAAAAGAAAGTGTGGAAAGAATTACTGAAGAAACCTTTCCACAACCTTAGAACAATAAAAGAACCCACCATTAAAGAAAATTCAGGACCCGAAGATACCAGAAGAAATAACGGCAGTCGTCAGACAAGGATGGAAGAATGGAAAGGCACCGGAAGTTGATGACATTCCTGCCGAACTACTGAAGCTATTAGTTGCAGAACAAATAAAAAAAATACCTAAAATATTTAATGAAATATCCAAGTCAGGAAAAATACCAGTAGAGTGGCTCAAATCGGAGTTCGTACCATTGCCCAAAAAACTAGGGGCAAAAGTTTGTGAAGACTATAGGACCATAAGTCTAATGAGCCATCTATCAAAGTTGTTTTTAAAAATTATCCACAAAAAAATTTACCAGAAATGCTGGAAATACCGTTACAGCGAATAGCTGTAATGTTTTTGAATGCCTGATTGACTGCAAGAACGCTTTCGATACAGTAAGGCATGAACAAATTATGGAAGTACTGAAGAGGACAGGGATTGACCGAAGAGACCTAAAAATAACAGCTAACTCGTCTTGGAATCAATCAGCAGTGCTCTGAATAGACGGAGAATATACAGATCAGGTAAAAATCTTAACGGGTGTGAGACATGTGTGCATAACTTCACCACTGATATTCAGTCTGTACTCGGATCATATTTTTGAAGAGGCTCTAAAAGATATTGATGAAGGCATCTCAATAGGTATAATCAAGCTCAATAACCTGCGGTATGCAGATTATAAAATAGTATTTTCCAATACCATAGAAGGACTGCAACACGTAATGAAAAAAATAAAGGAAATAAGTAGAACATATGGACTGGATATAAACACCAGCAAAACCAAGCTAATGATCATCAGCAAGGAAAACATAACTGAAGCAAATCTCTATGTGAACAAAATGAAAATTAAACGTGTCTCACAGAATAACTACTTTAAAACTTTAATCAATGAGTAGTCGGACAATGCCCAAGCATTCTTGACTATGATCTCTATGTTCAATAGCCATGACCTCAACATAGAAACAAAAATAAGGCTCCTTAAATGTTACGTGTACTCAGTGCTTCTGTACGAAGTAGAATGATGGACATTGAAGGCGGAAACTCTATTAAAACTTCAGGCTTTTGAACTATGGCTACACAGAAGGATCTTGAAAATACCATGGACAGACAAAGTCTAGAAGTACTGAGGAGGATGAATACAACCGCGGATTTGGTCAACATCGTGAAGTGCCGTAAGCTACAGTACTTGAGACATATAATGAGAAATCGAGAAGATACGAGCTACTCCAATGCATTTTGCAAGGTAAAATTTAAGGAAAAAGGGCCCAGGACAAAGAAGAATATCCTGGATTGCTAACCTGAGAGCATGGTATAGAAAGACCTCAACACAGCTATTCCGTATAGCAACCAACAAAGTCGTCATAGCCAGAATGATCGCCAACGTTCGGAACGGACAGGAAACCTAAGAAGAAGGAGGTTTGCATAAATTTACATTGTTCAATGAGTGTCTTAAGACGATTATTTACAAGAAACACAAAATAATAATTGTTGTGTTCTTTAGTTAGTTTTCTTAGTATAGTTAGTTTAGAGTATTAGTGAATTAGTTAATTAGTAAATAATAATTAGTAAGTTATATGATAAATAAATATACTATACACAATTAGTAATATTAGCAATATATTAATAAATACAATAAATAATTAACCTAAGATAAAAATAGTATATTACATAACGAGAGTTGTAAGAAGCTTATTACATGCGAGTAAAAAAGTTGCGCGCGAGCCGCGTAGCGGCGAGCGCAGTAATTTTACAAGCATGTAATAAGCTTACAACTCAAGTTATGTACTATACTTTTTCTACCATTATTTTCGTTTATAAAAATAAAAATTAAATTACCACTATATTTACACTGACAGATTAATAATTTTTAACCTGTCAAAACAACGCCTGTTGATTCGTTTCCATGGTAACTCGACCAACTGACTTACAAGGCTTATGTGATATTACACATTTTTATAGAACTGAAGCGTAATTTTTTTTATTACGTGCTAGTCATTACGTGTCAGTATCTGTTATGATGCATTTACTTAGCATCCAAATAGTAGGTAATATACAATTTACTAGTAAGAGAGTAGAAAAATACATGTTTGTTAGGTATTAGTTGGTGTTAGGTATTTGTTAATTACTTGCATTAGTAGAAACATGCAAATAGTATATTACATAACGAGAGTTGTAAGGAGCTTATTACATGCGAGTAAAAAAGTTGCGCGCGAGATTACGACAGATTAATAATTTTTAATCTGTCAAAATAACGTCTGTTAATTGGTTTCCACGGTAACGCGACAAACTGACTTACAAAGCTTATGTGATATTACACATTTTTTAAAACTGAAGCGTAATTTTTTTTATTACGTGCTAGTCATTACGTGTCAGTATCTGTTATGATGCATTTACTTAGCATCCAAATAGTAGGTAATATACAATTTACTAGTAAGAGACTAGAAAAACTATTTTAAATAACACTACTAAATACTCACTTAAATGTCACCTTTCAATATTTAATATTACTTACGTGTCCATGACCAGCGAGTACCACGCCAATTACAAAGAAAGTAAAAATTACAATCTAAAAAATTTAAAGAATAATGAAAAACTTTTATGAATTAAAATTATGGGGATGAAAACTTACTGAATTCATATTGTTGTTTCTGGCTGAGATACAAATGATGCTGTTTGTGTTTAAACATTGGTTTATATACTTTATTGTCCCACTTTTATATTATATTATTTAATGTTACGACATTTTTACTGAATGTATACTGAATTTATATGGTCTACTGAGCATTTCAACCAATTTATCAATTATTATGGGTTGAAAACTTAATAATCTGTACTATGTGTACTATGTGTATGTAGACTAGGGAACTAACAATATTTTCATGACACTCGTTGATACAGGTATCTAATAACTGCTTTTGATAAAATGTCACACAGTTGTCATATCTTGGTTCTTGTTTGTTGGAGAAAACGTAGCTATTCGTTAGTCGCATATGATGAAGTCGAAGTCGCGTTAATATTACCTGGTCTCTCCGACTTATTGGTAATGTGGGCCAGGGTTTTATCGATTTTTTAACATCACGTAGCTTGGCCGATGACACTTTCACTTTTCTTCCCACATATATCGCACTTTAAATTTAACTGCCGATTTCACGTCCGCACTCGTAAATGTTTTAGTACACTCCGCACTATCACTACTTGCAGCTTCTTTTGCAGCGTTGTCTGCCTCTTCATTTCCGGGAATTCCCATATGGGATGGTATCCAAAATAATATATTATTGTTTCCATTCATTTGTCCGGTATGGATTTCTTCTTTTATCTTGATGACTAAAGGATTAGTTGGGTAGACATATTGCATTGACTGGACGGAACTTAGAGAGTCTGTGAGTATAATATAATTGGTATTATTGGATGCGTTGACAGCAAGGGTGGCCTGGTATAGAACATACAGTTCAGCAGAGTAAATGGAGTACTCTGAAGGTACTTTGTATTTATTTGTCGATGTTGGGGTTATGATTGTAGCACCAGTACCTTCATTTAATTTAGATGCATCTGTGTATATATGTGTATAATCCTTGTAGTTGTGAAGAATATCGTTGAAGGCAAATTTGATTAACTGTGGGTTTGTTGAATGTTTGTCGAAAGAAATGAGGCACTGAGGGTTCTTTATTTTCCATGGAGGAATTAAGGATGAATGGGAGGAAAAGCATTCTGGGAACGTGTAGTTTAATTGATTGAAATAGCTTCTAATCCTTACCTAGAAAGGTTCAGCAGTTCTTAGCTTATTTATGAATAGAGTTGGTAACTTTTCTGTAAAACAATTGTGAATACTGGGGTTTTTTGGGTTAGACCTGATTTTTGCGGCGTACGCTGTACCTAAATAAAGTGTTCTGTCTTCTAAGGACGGTTCACCAACTTCACAATAAATAATAAAAACATATTCATTATTAATGTATCGTCTGCAAAACGTAAGTTATTCAAAATTTCGCCATTGGTAGATATACCCTATATTAAATATCAAAAAACTTCTTTAAATACCGCATCACTGCAGAGATAGAAGAGTAGAGGGAACAGCACGCAACCCTGCTGGCGAACACCTCTCTGTGTCTTGATATCTCGGGTGTTATGGTTGTCACAGTTGTTACAGTTTGATTCCAATATAGATTAGATATAAAATTTTATATCATGACTGTTAATATTTTTTCTTTTTAATATATCTACAATCCTTTATGTTGATTTTTATTAAATGCATTCTTAAACTCTACAAACCATAACTACATGTCCTGGTTCACGTTCATGCATCTCTGGGCCAGCACATTCAATCAGAACAAAGAATCTCTTGTGTCCATACCCTTTCTTAAGCCAAATTGTGTGTTAGTGTACACCTACATTGGAACCGTATTTCCCCCGATCCGATATCGGGCGACGTCGGCCGACGTCGGATTGGAAACAAACTCAAGGTATTAAATCATAGTGCCTATACTGCTTCCGTGACGAAGCAGTATAGGCACTCTGATTTAATACCTTGAGTTTGTTTTTAATCCGACGTCGGCCGACGTCGCCCGATATCGGATCGGGAGAAATGCGGTTCCAATGTAGGTGTACACTTACTAATTTTATATTTAAGAGTTTTAATAATTCTGCTGTGTATTATTTTCAAAATGTTTAAAGCTATTATTCTGTGATCGAAGCAGGTTGTTGCTCTTGACCTTTTGGGAATAGCTACACAGGTCGATTTTCTATCTAACTGTCGATACAGTCGGTGCGGGCATTACCCTTTTTACCATATCAGACGCGTCCCATGGAAAACAGACAAATCCACACAAACGCTATAACTTTCAAATTATTAGTCTCAGTGTAGGCAAGTTGCAATTAGTTTTGTAACTTTCGAACGCGACATTTTTTGACCATTCTGGGCAAGAAATATTAAATTTGCTACCGTTGGTAAGAAAAAAATGTGACATTTCACCTCTCTTCCTATTTAAAAATTCATTCACTCTTTCCAGAGTTTGAATCTTGGAAGTTAAAAATATTCACCGAAAGTCTCTTTCGGTGAATTCATACTTCTTTCTGATTTTCCATAGAATTTAGCAGAACAAAGATATCAAGGCTGGGGAAGTTTTTACTTCTTCTTTACCTTTAGACTTCGGAAATCATCCTTAAAATACAAATTAAAGAAATTATTATTTTTTGTTACTTGGTTATCTAAACATTAAATGTAAGGTATTTATTTTTATTAATATATTATATATTATTAATTATTTATTTTTAATAGTATCATTTCCATAAAATAATATTGCCATAACGTACTTTATTTCCATAATCGATATTCCCAGAATTTAAAACTTAACAGGCGGTACTGGTAGTATGTAATTTAAAGTATTTAATATTTAAAGTATTAAAAAGTGTTTTAAGTTGAATAGGTGTTTGATAGTAAATGGGATGTGTTGATCACGAATTTGTACTTACTTTTTTTCCAGCACGTCGGGTTTTCAAAAAAAGTGTGTTTGAAACTTTTCATAGAAACTGTCAAAAATGCCGAGAAAATATTTATTGAACCCTTATTTAATATACAATTACACTGCAAAATTGAGTTTTTCATAAAAAAAAAGAATTCAGTATAACCTACGTTAGACAATATTTGTTTTTTTTTTAATAAAACTGTTTTCTTTTTCCATGAAAACTGCATTTTGTGGTCTTCTTTTTATGGATTTTTGTGATCAATTCTCTCTTAAAGGTCCAGCAGTAATCAGCCATCATTCTTACATCCCGTCTTCCTCGGTAACGTCTCGTCATCTTTCTTCCAGCTCCTCGCTGACAGCTCCAAGATTTTCGTGAAAATAGTCAATGTGGGAATCTAAAAAATGAAGTTTGACGCTCATATTGCTTCCCATGTTTTTTATAATTTTTAACCATGTTAGCTACAATTTTTTTATAGTTTGGAGTCTTGTTGTTTCCAAGGAAACCATCTATGAGTTCTATGGAAGAACTTTATACTTCAGATTCATCCTGGGTCATTGTATTCTGAAACAATCTGTCCGATTTTAAAGTTCGAATTTGAGGTCCTACAAAAATTCCTTCTTTAAGTTTAGCTTCAGAAAGTGCAGGAAATTTGTCGCACAGATATTTAAAGCAGTCACATTGTTTATCTAAAGCTTTGTTCTCGAGTGTCCCACTCGCATAAAAAACATGGATACTTTGTGAATCCAGACTGCTGACTCAAAAGCATGGATATTATTTTGAGATCTTCACAGAGTTGCCAACAATATTCGTAATACTTTATTTTATTTACCAACAGCTCAAAATTCTCATACGCTTCTTTCAGATGCACGGATGTGCAACAGGCATTAAGGCAAAAGTATTACCATTGTGCAACAAGGTACTCTTTAGACTTCTCTTAGAAGAATCATTAAATAGCCGCCATGATGTAAAATCTTAATTGTCAGCTCCTAGTTTCATGACTTCAGAAATAGAGCTCTCTTGAGAAAAATATTGTGCGAACTCTTTTTCACAATGCCTATACCATGAAAATGTGGTACCTGAAGCCAATAGATCTTTATCTTTTAGTCGTGATCCTAAGATTTGTGCAGCATCCTTCGATAGGCCCAAGTCTCTCACTAAGTCATTTAGTTCAGCTTGATAAACTTTTGTGGTTGGTCTATCTCAGGATTGAATTCATCTTCATCAGGTTTTTGTCTGAACTTTCATCTGATGATTGCTGTTGGATGGTGTAAAGAAAAGTTGGAGGAATAGGGATTCCTGGTTCATGAGTTTTTGAATTGAACCCCTTGATATTGCTCTAGCAAAAGTAGCAGTCGTCTCCATAGGTTTTTGTTTTTCTCCATACCATAGGAATGCCGAAGGGTAAAGAGTGTACCTTTTGTCCATTTTCTCAGTAGTTCGATACACTGTAAGTACACTTTGTGTGGAGCCTAAAGTTTGTCCTGATCAGCAAACTTTACAAGCACCAATAACGTATTTTTTTGCGCTAGTATATGTTTCACAAGGTTTTTTCAATTTTGTGAAAATTTTGACATGATTCGCAGTGTTTCCATTCAAAAGATATTAATATAATATTGTAATAAAATATTTTCTATCGATCTATCAAGTATTTTAAAGAATTACTTTTAATGCAATTTACGAAATATCAATAAGGTATTTGTTTGCACTAGTACATAATATCTCACAAGGTTTTTTTTTTTAAATTTGTGAAACATTTGGACGTGATGGGCCTAAACTGAATTCATATTCAGAATCAGTGTACCCGTATTAGACAAGGATACATGTCAAACACAAAACACTAAAAATCATGTCGGCCTGTGTTATTTTAAAGTATTTTTTCATTTAATATACTTGAGGCTAATACATCAATATAATTTCCTAAAAAACAATTAATAAAATATCCCAAAAAACTGTTAGTTAAGTTACTAGAATATTTTCTTACTATAAAATTAGTTTGTATGACTAACAAGTTTCAATATTTAATCGACAAATTTGGTAAATTGTTCAGCGGACCAAATCACGTCTATAAAAATGTCGAAATTTTTTCTAATATCGTCAAAAGTGGGACCATATTTTAAAATATATAAACTGATACATAATAAATAAACAACATCAGTCAGATCTTGTTTACGTGTATAACAAAAATGAATACAGTAAGTGTTGCGAGTAAATTCAGCACAACCTTTTTATTTTTATAAATACTTTTATGTAGTAAAGCTATTTATTGTTAATCTGTTGCAGGTCATTGTTTTTACTCTTTCATAATTGGTGCTGTCCTTGCAGGTCATGGACATGTAAGTTAACATTTTCTTAAATAAATGAAATGAGGTTGAATGCTCGAATAAATGAACTTTGAAAATAAGGCTATTATCGAGCACAAGTTAATTAAATCTAGCCCAGGTACTTTCGCTTAAAATAGCATCTTCAGGGGCATTTCGTCAAAATAAGAACTATCCGGCAAGCGTAGGATGTGGAAACATTAAAACTAACATAAATTATACAAAACACTACACTAAAACGAGGACAAACAGTCCTCGTTTTAGTGTAGTGTTTTGTATAATTTATGTTAGTTTTAATGTTTCCACATCCTACGCTTGCCGGATAGTTCTTATTTTGACGAAATGCCCCTGAAGATGCTATTTTAAGCGAAAGTACTTGGGCTAGATTTAATTAACTTGTGCTCGATAATAGCCTTATTTTCAAAGTTCATTTTCTTAAATATTGCATTTATTAAACTTGGTTAATAATTTTTCCTTTTAATGCTTTGTTTAATATTTTATAATTTTTTTAAGGATAACGCTCATTATAAGTTTGAATATGGAGTTCACGATCCTCACACTCATGACCATAAATCACAGCATGAACATAGACATGGACATGACGTCACTGGAGGATACACATTGAAAGAAGCCGATGGAACTCACAGAGTTGTCAAATATAAATCTTCTCCTCACAATGGATTCGAAGCTGTCGTTGAAAGAGTAGGTCATGCCCAACATCCCGCTCACTACGGCCATGGTCATGGTCACGGAGGTCATGGTGATGGTGGACACGGTGGAGCTACTAGTTATGTTGGTGTCACTCACTGGGCTAACCAAGGAAGTGAAGGTCACGGACATGGACATTGATATAATAATCCGTTCTCAAATCTTTTTATTTTTGTACTGTGAGATTATAAGTTTAATAAACTTTATGTAATATTTTATCCCATTTTATTGGATTGTATTTACAATTTTCTAAGGATACACAACCTATGTAGTAAAAGTATAAATGATTCTAAAAACCACTTAAAAGTAAAACTTAAGTGTGATTACAAGTAGACTGTCATAAGTTTTTCGCGGTTCTGAGACAAAAGACGGAACTACTATTTTTCTAAAACAGTAATAGCATATGTTAAGTGTTATTAATAAACAATATTCATCATCATCATCAGTTGGCGCTACAGCCCTTCGTGAGCCTTGGCCTGCTTCAAAACATTCTTCCATCCTTCCCTATCGAGTGTCTGTCTTCTCCAGCCCCTCACTCCAATCTCCCTCAGATCTTCCTGTACGTCGTCCAGATATCTGAGTTTAGGTCGCCCCCTTCTTCTTCTTCCGACCGGCCTATTTAGCATAGTTATTTTATAAACAAGATTAACCTTCGTAAACGAAACTTCTTAAAGTTAACTGATCAGCAGTAACCAAATAATATATAGACTGTGAAAATTAACACAATAAAATAAAAACTTTTACCATTTCTACTTAACTAATTGTAAACGGAACTCTAGTATGTTATAGTTTACAGTATATAATAATAGGGTTCTTTCAGAAGAAACATTCTGAATGTTTCTTCTACATAACTTTTACGTTCTATGCATTAGTAATGTAATGTTGGTCATGAATGGATGCAAAAAACATGTAGCTCAAATTCCATATCTTAATTAAACTTTCATCAAGATCATGATACGATCATTTTTAGTCTACCTTTTTCAATATAACTAATTTTCTTATATTGGCCATTTCTGGACCTTTACCAGATTCTCTTAAACTTGAGAATTATAGAGTATGAGAAAAAGTAAGAGAAGATTGTAATTTAGCCGCGAGTTTGAAATTAAATCAAGAATCAGTGTTTTATTTATTTTTATATTTTTGTAGTTGTAGATACATAAGAAAAGGTTTGTCTAGAGTAGAGGATTTGAAGAAAAGGATTTTGTTTTATTATCGGAAAGAAAACACATTTAATTTAGTTACCAAAATCGTTGATTTCCTTCAGTTTTGACCTAAAGTTTCGACCTACAGTTTAACCTTTTGGTTAAATGTTACTTTTAAGACTTTTATGTATAGTCAAACAGGTATCTCGTAAAATTAAAAAATCACTGCCCAGAAACAAATTTGAAAGTAGGAGTCTAGCAAAGCCATTCGTGCAGTAAACGTTATGAAGTGAGGTGCTTGAGAAAAACAAAAACAAATCGAATACTTATAAAGGAAAGATATGACATTCAGAAGCTTCATATACAGGGTTACGCAATTGAACTGTTACCTATTCAAACGACCATAATTTTTTTGTGTGAAATTATTTTTCATTGATTCAGATGACAAAAATGTGTGAAAATAATCAAAATTTCAGATCCACTCACTTTAGCTTAACTATGGCCTTCAACGATAAAAACACGAGTTGCATGCTGCACGAATGTGACCTTCCGATATTTTGGCCCATTCACGTATAATTGCTTTCTCCAGCTCATCCATACTGGCATATTTTTTTAGTCCTCACCTTGCTTGCCAAAATAGACCAGATGAAATAGTCCATCGGAATTACTGTTGTTGTATGTATAAAACTTAAATGCAAATATTTTTGACAGCTAAACAATATACTGAAGTGTTATCAGGCCAACTTTGACGTAGCTGTCATTATCGATTTGCCAGATATATCGATGTGAAGTTGGTAACAGTTCAATTGCGTAACGCTGTATACTATTTAAGAGCTGGTAATAAGTATCGAGGTCGCTCTATAATGTATATGGATGAAACCAATGACGTATAATATATAGACTCGGTGAACGCTTTAAAAAGTGTCCAAAACATGAATACCTTTGTTATTGTTTATTGTTTTGATACGAAGATGCACGAAGTTCATGATTTCTTACGAAGCATCACGAAGTTGCTCTTGTATTTGAAAACATCATAGCCGTATGAAAACATTTTCTCCATTTTGTGTGACAAGCAAATTTTATTTTAAATTGTTAAGAGTTATTTACTTACTATTTTAGTACAATGCCATACTATTTTATCAAAATAATTATTTCTCTTATAAACGGGAACAGAAAGAAATCATAAATAGTTAATTTTAATTAAAAAAATAATGATTGTCATTAACATATAAATGAGCACGCCGCTGTTCTGATAAACATACCTTCAACCTTGAGCCGAGATCTTTCGGACACTCGATTCTATAGCGAGAATAGGGGACTGCGTAGTCTATATATTATACGTCATTGGATGAAACATACATTCACTCAACAAATACCACACGCAAAAGTTGGAGTGATGATTGGAATGAAGGTATTAAGCAACCAACATCAAAAGGAAATCGTTTGAATATTGTACATGCTAGTGGTGAGTGTGGTTTTGTTCAAGCAGCTGCCTATAGTTATATATATATATATATATATATATATATATATATATATATAAGAATAGGACTAAAATAAATCTACACAAAACTATATATCTAACAAATAAATCTCTAGACATAACTGAAGTTATACCTCTGGACAATAATTATATAGAAAAGTTTGAATCATATATATATATATATATATATATATATATATATATATATACTTAGAATAAAAAATCAAAATAACAAAGTTTAGCAGCATCCGGAAGATTACAAACGGTATTTAAATCAAATATTTATAAATACTTTAAAAGCAAAAACTTTCGATCAGTATGTGCTGCCGGTACTAACATATGGAACTGAAACATGGGCTTTTAACAACAACATAGTTCACAAACTCCAAGAAACTCACAGAGCTATGGAACGGAGAATTCTCAACATTAAGCTCAGCGATTGCAAGTCCAATGAAGAAATAATAAAATGAACAAAAGTTGCAGATGAAAGCCAAAAGATTACCATATTAAAATAAAACTGGGCAAGATACATAGGAAGAATGAAAGACGACCGTTGAACAAAGCGAATTATTGAATGGCAACCAAGACCAAACAAAATACGTAGGGGCAGATCTCAAACTAGGTGGACTGATGACATCAAGCTAATGGCTGGTCATAAATGGATGCAAAAGTCAACAACCGAAATGAATGGAGAGACCTAAGGGAGGCTTACATCCTAAGATGGATGGAGTATCTGTTTATGACAATATCCAAAATAATAGTAGGACGTCCCTTCTATAAAGTATCTGTATATATAGCTATTAAGTTTCTTATTTTTCATCGTCATCATTGGTGCTACAGCCCTATAAAAGAGCCTCGACCTTTCCCGATTACGCCAGTCAATTCTATCCATTGCCAGTTTACTGCGCCTATTTTTTGACCATCCTTATCTACACCATCCCTCCATCTGAGTTTTGGCCTACCCCTACTTCTACTTCCCACAGGTTGTGACATCAGGATTCTTCTAGGAGGGTTATTCTGTAGTTGTACCTCCTTCTCCAAACATCATTTTCACAGATGCCACCGAATATTCTTCTCAGGATTCTTCGTTCAAATATAAGCAGGAGGTTTTCATCTGCCTTGGAAATGGTCCATGTCTCCGATACGTATGTTAACACTGGTTGTGTAAGGGTTTTGTATATGGTTATTTATGTTTTGGCTTCTCATATGTCTAGTCATATGTCTACTGTTCTGATTTAAGTTTCTGCTTCTCATATGTCTACTCAATCCAAAATAGCACTTGTTTGCTAGGATTATTCTTCGCATGATTTCTTCCGCCATGACGTTCTACTTTGTGATCAGTAAGCCTAAGTATGTGAATTTGTCTACCACTTTAAAGGTAAATATATCAACAGTCAATTGGTAGCCGATGTTTCTGGCTCTATTGTTGGGTGTTTATGCCAATATCTTAGTTTTCTCCGCATTTACTTGCAGACCCATATATTTTTAGGCATTTGACGTGTTTTGCGGGCAACTGGGCCAACATCATCTGCATATGCCAAAATTTGGTATAAATTATTAAAAATGTTTCTCTGTTGTCTATTTGGGCATCCCTGACCGCCTTTACCAGAGTTATGTTGAAAAGAAGACACGCCAGCGCATCTCCTTGTCGCAGCCCAACATGCGTTGCAAATGCGTGTGATTGTTTGCCCTGTATTTTGACTTTGCAAACAACTTTACACATTGTAGCCTTAACCAATCTTATCAGTTTATCGTGGATGTGAAATTCATCTATGGATTCATAGGCCGATTTAAAATCTACGAAAAGATGATTGTGTCAATATTAAATTCATTGTTTTTTTTTTTCAGTATTTGCCTTGGCACAAATATCTGGTCTGTTGTTGATCGACCAGACCTAAAACCAATTTAATATTCGCTAAGAAGCTCCTCTAAATATGCACTCAGACGACTATATAAAATACTCGAAAATATTTTATATGTTATATTAAGGAGAGTTATTCCCCTATAGTTTCTACATTCCAATTGATCACGCTTTTTGTGTAGCGGGCAAACGATTCCAATACACCACTTTTCCGGGACTTGTTTCTCATTCCAGGCTCCCAGTATGATTTTATATATATGGTTAGTCAGAGTAGCACCTCCACATTTAATAAGTTCTGCGGGTATACCATCACTTCCTGGAGATTTATTATTTTTTAGGTGTTTTACTGCATCCCACACTTCTTGAATTGATTGAGGCTCCAATGGTGTATTGTTGCTTGCTCCTGGGTGTGGTTGATTTCGATCTTCTACTTTGATAGTAAGTAGTTCTTTATAGTGTTCCACCCACCTTTTTAATACTTCTTCTTTTGTATTGAGAATATGCCCCTCCTTATCCTTACATAGTCCGATCCTTGGTTTAAATTCTTCCTTTCCTTGGTTTTTTATTTTTAGTTTACCAATATAATACGGTATTATGTTTTTCCTATATAAGTAGTGTTTTTAATAATAAGAACTATGTAATATATAATAATTTATTTGGTATAACAATTGGTATAAAAATAAAAAGAAAATCTAAACCAAGTATTCACGTTTTAATGTCCGTGTCCGTGTCCACCTTCACTTCCTTGGTTGGCCCAGTGAGTAACTCCAACATAACTAGTAGCTCCACCGTGTCCACCATGACCATGACACCATGGCCGTAGTGAGCAGGATGTTGGGCATGACCTACTCTTTCAACGACAGCTTCGAATCCATTGTGAGGAGAAGATTTATATTTGACAACTCTATGAGTTCCATCGGCTTCTTTCAATGTGTATCCTCCAGTGACGTCATGACCGTGCCTGTGTTCATGCTGGGATTTGTGGTCGTGGGTGTGAGGATCATGAACTCCATACTCAAATTTGTAATGAGCGTTATCCTAATGAAATCGAAATACAAAATTAAATTGGTTAAAGTTAGAAGTCATGAAATATGATAGAAATATTTATATTTATTGATGAATAAATTAGCAACTAATTGACTTAAAGTAACTTTAATGCACAGCACTAATTTTTAACAAAGATACAGAAATATTTTTAAAAATAATAGAATATGATACAAAGTAAAAAAGCTTTAAATAAAACTTTTCTACAATTACATATGAAAATAAAATTGTTTTTTTGGTATTTAATACCATAACAACTTACATATTAGATTTCTTTTTGAGGAAATTATGTAAAACAATTTTGGTTTTTATCATTAAAAAAGACTGCGATAAAAAATAAGCTAATACGAACTTACATGTCCATGGCCTGCAAGGACTACGCCGATAACAAAAAGAGTCAAACAAATAACCTAAAAGACAAAGAAAGGATTTTTTAGAATATAATAATTATTTTATGTCTTTTGTATTAACAAAAAAATACTGAAATATTATAATCCATGTCTTTTTACAACTTACTGAATTCATGTTCGTTGTATTTTTAACTCTGCTGCTACTGATACTATTTCTTTGCATGTCTCGGTTTATATATAGTCCGTCTATTTTGTCTGATTTAAAAGTTGTGACATTTTGTAGACGCGTGCTTTGGTCTGCTGAACATTGTACCAAATTTACCGATTATAATTATTTAAATAATATTATTAATATATGTAATATTATTTTATAATTAAATTTTATTTTAATTTTTCTATTAGTGATTATAAGACCACTGTACTTGGTACTAAAATATAGATCATCAGATGCTATGTATTTTTTACTTTATTATACAAAATAGGTGCTATTACACTTTCTGAATCCTAAGATCCTTGAAAATTTCGTGGTTGGATCGTATGACTAATATTCAGGTCATACATAAAATGAGCAAGGAATGCTAGATTATTCACAATCAAAGAGTGCGAATTAGAATATCTTGGTCACATTATGAGACATGAACGAAGATATGGTTTGTTGCAATCAATTTTTTAGGGCAAGGTATTTGTACAGAGAGGAAAAGAGAAAAGAAATCTTGGCTTCAAAACCTGATAAAGTAGTTAAATACATCTACAACTGGACTATTTGAAATAGCTACTAGCAAACATAGGATAGTCATTCTGATCGCCAACGTCTATTATAGATTATAACTTACTTAATCAGTAGACCCATTTGTACCTTTCGGTGTTGGGCCGTTTATAATACAATTCTTTATATTACAATATTTTACAATCTTCTGAGGTGTCCTAGCTCTTAACGAACTTTTTCCATTCCTTCCTATTGTATGCCATCTGTGTTGCTTCCTGCCAAGTCTTACCCTTACTCTGCAGTATCTGCAAGATGTCACTGTTCCGTTCTTTAATGGGTCTTCTTCTTCTGTTCTTTCCTATTGCTTGGCGTCCCACACTCTTTTTACTTGTCTATTATTGTCCATACAGGTTAGATGTCCGAACCATGCTTGAAGTTCTCGTTAAAAAAGAAAAACTCATTACTAAACCTCTTGGTTATTAAATTTAAGCATAGTTTGGGTGGCATCTTTGTCTTTTACTGATATATGGCAATTGTTTAAAAGGTTGAGTATTGAAGGTAAGGTTTTATTTATCGGTACAGAAGCAAAAAAATTAAAAACATCAAAAGAAAACTAAATAAGAACTCTGTTCTATTTTGATGTTGTTTAAACGTTCTATTAGATCAAAAGAATTTAAAACGAAAAACTTAGGTTTAAAAATTAGTGATAGACTGAATTGAGTTGTAAATAGGCTCTGATAATATAGAAACTGTAGTGTTACAGAAACTAACATAAAAAGAAATTAACAAAATAGATAAAATACAAAATGGGGTTTTTAAGATAGCCTACGTATCCTCTTTTTTGGTTAACATAATAATATGTTACTTTCATACATATGTATAATAGATGTAAGACATATATGGCTTGAATGCGATAGAATTATATTTATATTTTATATTTTGTTTATCTGGCCTGTTCCACTGGTTGGTAGTTATCAAGTTTATGGAGGAACAGGAGGAACAGGAACAGGAACAGAGGTTGGTAGTTATCAAGTAGAACAGGCCGAATTCAGGAAAGGATACAGCACAATCGATCATCTACATGCGCTTAAAATCTTAATTGAGAAAACCAATGAATACAACCTTCCGCTGTACTTAGCATTCGTAGATTATGAAAAGGCTTTCGACAGCATTGAACACTGGGCGGTTGAAGAAGCTCTGGTCAATAGTAGAATAGATTCAAGATACCGACAATTGATACATGATATTTACCAAAACGCAACCATGACCGTAATTATGGACGACAAATTAATAACGGATAATATAAAAGTTAAACGAGGAGTCTGACAAGGCGATATAATTTCACCTAAACTGTTTACCTTGATCCTCGAAGACATAATAAAATCCACAGATTGGGAAAACACAGGAATATGTATTAACGGAAAATACCTAAATCACCTTAGATATGCGGATGATATACTCCTGATCTCCTCGGAACGACAAGAACTGGAATTAATGCTGAATGAACTTCTTGAAAAATCACTGCAAAAATGCCTTAAAAATTAACTTCAATAAAACAAAAGTAATAACAAACACAGAAGACCAAGAGGCAATAAAAATAAAAACAGAAAAAATAGAGCAGGTAAATGAGTATATCTATCTAGGACAAGCAATCAGAGCTAACAGAGAAAATCAAACAGCCGAAATATCGAGACGAGTAAGAATGGGATGGGCAGCGTTCGGCAAACTTTCTTACGTTCTAAAAAATCAAACAATCCCTCTATACTTACGAAGCAAGGTATATAACTCCTGTATAATACCGGTGCTCACCTATGGAGCACAGACATGAACATTTACACCGGCCAATTTGGATAGGATAAGGAAGGCACAAAAAGCGATGGAGAGACAAATGTTTGGTGTATCACTTAGAGATAGAAAACGTAACCAGTGGATCAGAACCAGAACAAAGACAGTAGACGCGATAGAACAAGCAGCAAAACTGAAACGGGAATGGGCTGGACACAATGAACGTCTCCAAGACGGACGATGGAACAATGCCATCGGAAAGTGGTGTCCATACAATGCAAAGAGATCAAGAGGCAGACCACAGATGAGGTGGAAAGATGACATCAGGAAACAAGGAGGTCTCATATGGCAGAGAACAGCTCAAGATAGGGAAAGATGGAGAGAACTGGGGAAGACCTATATTCAACAATGGATGGATAGAGAATAGGTTAAAAAAAAACAATTTTGTTTATTATATTCACTGGTATTTGCTGTAATTAGTGCTATTATGAAGGCGGCCAATACGCACGATCTTTCAAATCTGAATCCCTCTCGTCTGAGAGTATTATAAATGTATGAATTATGTTTGTTAAGACACTTAATTAAGGTGGTATGGGCATGTTCAACGGATGCTAGCAACAAGACTCCCAAAAAAAGTATTAGAATGGCAACCGGTAGGTCGACGGAAAAGAGGAAGACCCAGATTAGAATGGCAACTCGGCGTAAACAGGTCCATAAGCGAAAGAAATTTAATAACAAACGACTGCGAAGATAGGAAGAAATGGGGTTTAGGTATCGGACAACGTCGAAAGACGTTCTAAACCGATGTATATATGTTTGGTAAGACTTTTGTAGTAAGCTGTTGTAGTAATTATTTGTTTTAGCAAGCAAACATGCATACAACTTAACTGCATTGGAGCCCAAAAAAAGAAATACATTGCGTAGCAATGAATTAACATTCCAAAAGAAGTGATCCACTACAATTAAATCATTTTCTAATATCTTATCTTAAGCGACATAACATAAAAGTTAATAAAACAATTGTTTTTTAAAATACTACAAATCTATTATATCTATTACTGGTTAAAATATATTCTAAATTATAAGATATCGTTTCAACACATATTCAAAACCAAATAGCTTCAGTGTGTAATCGCTAAAGTTGGTAAAGCGTTCAACAGACCAAAGCACATGTCTATAAATGTCGACACTTTTAAGAGACACAAAACACAAGGACAATGATTTAAAATATAAAAATCGGGGATCGTATTGAAATGCTATCAGTATTAACCAGACTAATAATACAACAGCAATGAATTCAGTAAGTTATTTTAACTGTTTAAAATTTAGTAAATGTTTCAAAGAAATATTAAAAAATTCTACTATGATAAACGTAAATTTTAACTAAAAATATTTCATATTTATTTCAGATAGAAAATATTTTTAATTAAAATTTTAATTTATTTCTAAAACTATTTCAGTTAATACACAAATACTAGAAGATACCACTTCCGGATTATTTTTTTCTATTTCGTTAAATGATACAAACAGTACATAAAGTTCTAAGCTTTCTTCTTTTTTCAGATTATTGTTTTTGCTCTCTTTGTAATTGGAGTGGTTCTTGCAGGACATGGACATGTAAGTATGTTTTCATAATTTACTATTAGAAAAAATCTCACCTTGCAACAAAATATGATTATTGAATTAAAATTTATAATAATAATGAATGTAACTGGTGACTATAATAACTTGTGATGTTAATAGGATAACGCCCACTACAAATTTGAGTACGGTGTCCACGATCCTCACACACACGACCACAAATCCCAACACGAACACAGACACGGCCATGACGTAACTGGAGGATACACATTGAAAGAAGCCGATGGAACTCACAGAGTTGTCAAATATAAATCTTCTCCTCACAATGGATTCGAAGCTGTCGTTGAAAGAGTAGGTCATGCCCAACATCCCGCTCACTACGGCCATGGTCATGGTCATGGTGGTCATGGGCACGGTGGACACGGAGGAGCTACCAGTTATGTTGGAGTTACTCACTGGGCTAACCAAGGAAGTGAAGGTGGTCATGGGCATGGATATTAAAAACTGAAAAAGTGTTTTAGGTTGTATTTTTGATACCAATTTTTATGTCAAATAAATTATTACATTATATGACTTTTGTTCTTGGTAATTTTACTCACAGAATACAGTACATTTGATCCAATTATACAACAAATTTTATTTTTGATTTTGAAGTCGAAATACCAGGATAGTGTACAATATATATATCAATAATTGATAGCAGTAAGGTGTGTAATCGACGAAATTACAGCAGCATACTTGTCCTCTAATACATACGTTTCTGGATCAAAACTCATTTCTCTTAGGACGTCCCTCAGCCATTGTATCTTCTTTGTCAATCATTTTCCATCCACTCCTGAATGTAGGTCTCTCCCAATTGCTTCCATCTTTCTCTATCTTGCGTCAATCTAATCCACTGTTTGCCTGCCACTGCTCTTATGTCGTCTACACATCTTTTTTGAGGTCTTCCCATGCTTCTTGTTGTCGTCCTTGATCTTCATTCTAGAATTCTCCGTGTCCACCTGTTGTCATTATATCAGGCTACGTGACCTGCCCAGCGCCATTTCATTTTTGTAATTTCTTCCACAATATCCCTAATCTTCGTTCTACGTCTTATCTCAGTGTTTCTAATCCAGTGTAAGTGTTTCTAAGCCATTGTATAGTATTTATTTGAAACACCCAAGAAACTGGTTGCCGGCAAACATTAAAACATTCATTAAATATAATCATATTACGAGACATAGGCGCATCATGGATTTTTATGTTAAAGTATAGATTAATGAGGTACAGAGTGAGGACAATTTTTATGTACGTAATATAGTCGCAAATAACATAAGTGTATAAAAAACTTGTCAACATGTCATATTTAGCGAAAAACATAATTTAATTTTATACAGTATGTTTCAATGAATAATAATAGAACACTAAAATAGAATGAAAATATATGAAAACTAAAGAGTTTGTTTGTTTGTTCCAACGTTTCATTGTTTAAAGAATCAAATAATATACTTTCCCATGCCTAAATACTAGTAAACCTTAGAATAAACTTAATTTTACCGATGCTCCTGAAACTACCACTGGTGTTGGCTGTGCAGCAACCACTAAACATAAACTTTTAAGATCATCTTGGTTATTCTTAACATGATGCGTTTACACAGGTGAACTCTATAGTATTCTGTTGGCTTATAAATGCATCTTCCATCATATTGCCTTCAGATTCTCTTTTATCGTTTTAGTTAATACAATTTTCGCTGACCACCCATTATAGTATTCATACAAATATAGATCTATTAGCTTGTTATCTCACGTTTATAATTTTTTATGAAGATAATAACTAAGAGGTTGACATCAAAACTAGACTTCTATAAACCTTGCGAGTAAGCAGGATTTAGAGTTGGATACGGAACAAATGATCTTTTGTAAACCATTAAGTCGTTAATTGAAAAAACCATTGAATATAATAGACCCCTGATACTTGTCTTTGTCGACTTTGAAAAAGCATTTGATACGGTCAAACAAAGTGAAATTATCCAAGCTCTAACACAATGTAGAATATATCACGGACACATATCCTCCATCAGACACATCTATCAGCATGCAAAAGCCTTTGTAAGACCTATTGAAGATACTGGGACCTTTCGTATTGAAAAATGTGTTCGGCAATGAGACAACATGTCTCCTAAATTATTTTGCAACTTTGCTATAGATTGGAAAAAAAAGGGCATCAATGTAGATGGAAAATTTTTAAATAACCTTAAATTTGCAGATGATATCGTACTTATTGCAGACAGCTTTGATTATGCACAGATAATGCTCCAAGAACTCCATACTGCCACCAAATGAGTTGGTCTTTTTAGGTCAAAGCTTCCGATTCCGTGTCTGAAAAGAAAAGTATTGAATCAGTGTATTTTGCCAGTGATGACCTACGAAGCAGAAACCCTAACACTCACAAGAACAACAATAAGTAAACTACAAGTTGCGAAAAGGGCAATGGAGGGAATAATGTTGGGGATTTCTCTACGTAATAGAATACCCAATGCTACTATACGCAAAAGATCAGGAGTAGCAGACGTTATTGAAACAATAACATCAAAGTGGAACTGGTAAGTTCATGTAGCAAGATCAGTTGATGACCGGTGGACCAAAATAATTTTGGAATGGAGACCTCGAATACAAGATAACATAAATAGAGGTCGACCCCCAACCAGATGGACAGATGACATAAAAATAGTGACTACAATTTGGATTCAGATAACGCAAATTCAGACTAAGTGGAAAAGCATGCGAGAGGCCTATGTTCAGCAGTGGACGTTAGAGGCTAGTTGATGATAATGATGACCGATTAGATCAAAACATTCATGACATATATACCAAAATATCTTTGCTCACGCTGTAGCAGTTTCTCTCATATAGCTGCTTTCTGATACTGAAATTACTGGTAATGAAACAGCAGATCATTTTGCTAAAGAAGCTACCAATTATAATAGTGAAGTCATCTAATTTAACCAGCTAACGATTTCGATTTTAAAAAATCAGTAGAGGATACTTGGCAAAACTTATGACAAAAAACCACAACAACTCTTCAGAAAATCTAACTGTTTATTGCTCATCTCTCCTTAACGGGGAAAAAAGCATGAAATTATTGGAAGACTCCGAATCAACCACACTAAACTTGCTCATTATTTCCTAGTGCCCTTTGGAACTCGTCCAGCTTGCCACCATTGCAATATTTACCTGACTGTAAAACACATCCTTACCGACTGCAAACAATGCACCAATCTGTATAAAACACTGGACTTGAAACCTACTCTTAAAGAAATACTCAACAACCCTACACAGATCACAAAAACTATAGAATTTCTAAAACCCGCTCAACTCTACCAATATTTTACCTAGTGAACGTGATTAAATCACTATATGTTTTTATTATTTATTATATGTTTTTATAATCATTTTTCCTGTACCAATGGTCATAGTTGTTGAGGTACTTTATTTAAATAAAAAAAACTTGGTGGATTCGATTGTTACTTGATGGAAATTCATTTTATGTAACAATAAAACACTGAAAACTTTGTTTTCAAACTTCCACAAAATTTATTTTAACTATTATCACTACAGCTGTTTCGGCTGATTACCTTTCTCCAGTGATCTATTTTTGGCATGCGTTTACAATTTATAGTCTTTAATAAAATAGGTTGAGGAGGGGAGAACTGTTTGTCTCAAGTTGGTTATTCAGAATTATATCTGTGTTTTTTAATTTGTTGATTTCCATAGATTCTAACAAAGATAGCTTAAGGCCTTTATTTTGAAGGTAAAGAATTTTAAATTTGTCATTAAAAGAATGATTATGATCTAGAAGGTGAAGTGCGTATGTCGAATCTGTTTTTCTATTATTGAAAGCCTTGTTATGTTCTGCTATTCGTTTCTTAAAGTTTCTACCAGTTTGACCGATGTAAGTTTTTGGGCAATCGCCACATTGAAGTTTGTACACACCACTATTTAAGTGTTTTTTATTTTGGCTCTTGTTATTTTTAATATATTTGCCAAATAACAACCTAGGCAAATATATTAAAAATAACAAGAGCCAAAATAAAAAACACTTAAATAGTGGTGTGTACAAACTTCAATGTGGCGATTGCCCAAAAACTTACATCGGTCAAACTGGTAGAAACTTTAATAAATGAATAGCAGAACATAAAAGGGCTTTCAATAATAGAAAAACAGATTCGACATACGCACGTCACCTTCTAGATCATAATCATTCTTTTAATGACAAATTTAAAATTATTCACCTTCAAAATAAAGGCCTTAAGCTATCTTTGTTAGAATCTATGGAAATCAACAAATTAAAAAACTCAGATATAATTCTGAATGACCAACTTGAGACAAACAGTTCTCCCCTCCTCAATCTACTTCATTAGAGACTATAAATTGTAAACGCATGCCAATAATAGATCACTTGAGAAAGGCAATTAGCCGAAACAGCTGTAGTGATAATGGTTAAAATAAATTGTGTGGTAGTTTGAAAACAAAGTTTTCAGTGTTTTATTGTTACAAAAAAAACTTAATCATCTATAAAATTTTACACATTTTGTTGAGCAATTGTTAAGAATATCGCATACAACTGGAACACATTTTTGTTATAGTTGGCAAACTTATGTTCCGAAATCATTTAGCAAACTGAGCATATAACCAGACTATCAATATAAGTTTTCCACAAATACTCTGCGCTTAATATCGGTGACTTATTGCATTTCCTTAAGTGCGTCTTTATTATTCCCCAAATCATTTCTATGGAATTAAAAACGCAGTAATAATGTGGCAAGCGTAAAATGGTATGTTTTTGTGCATTTTTTAGTTTGTTAAGTACGTATTGTTTGTTAAAGTTGTGGCTCTTCACAATATTAGATAAATCTTTCTCTAAAGGGACTCTTTTAGGAAGGCGTATGTTCTTATCTCCCAAAAAAGTTACAATATCATCTCTCTTAGTACTGCTGTTGGGTATTTTTGTTAATGAGTCGTGAATGATAAGAATCATTGTCTATGACAACGGTCAAGTCATGAAAATCGGCAGATGATTCGTTAATATTTTAGCAGACAATATCAATGCATTTCGTACACATTTTTCCTTTTCCCACGAAACTTTTTGATAAGAACTAATTCAAAAACTTATTGTTATCCAGAAGACTACTTGTGGCATTTTGTTGTTTTTATTGCTTGTATCTTGTGGAATTCCTTGTTTATAAACGACAATGTGCAGTCATTTTTTGTTAAAATCTTTGTTAGCAAGTTTTCTCTTCTTTTCATTAAAGCAACTGTTTTTGACTCTATTATCTAATGATTTATTGATTTCTTCTTTTTCGACGTTTACCCTGTGATTTGAATATTAAAATTATTTGTTGGTGTGGGTTTTGTAAACTATAATCAACAACACAAAAGTGCAATATTAAAAAAGTCACATAATAAAACAACAATATATTTGGCGTGAAAAATAGTATCAAAAATAATAAAAAATCATAAAATCCACATTCAACTTTTAATATCCATGACCATGACCACCTTCACTTCCTTGGTTGGCCCAGTGTGTGACACCAACGTAGCTGGTAGCTCCACCGTGTCCACCATAACCATGTCCATGGCCGTGTCCATGTCCGTAGTGAGCAGGATGTTGGGCATGTCCTATTCTCTCAACTACAGCTTCGAATCCATTGTGAGGAGAAGATTTATATTTGACAACTCTGTGAGTTCCATCGGCTTCTTTGAGTGTGTACCCTCCAGTAACATCATGACCGTGTCTATGTTCGTGTTGGGATTTGTGGTCGTGAGTGTGAGGATCATGAACTCCGTACTCAAATTTGTAGTGAGCATTATCCTGAAAAATAAATGTTTGTACATAAATTTATTTAAATGGAAACTTTTCTTTATTTGGTCTGAAAATCTAGATCTTTCTCATATTGCTACAATATTTCTACATTTATAGAAAGTCCCGATATGGAATTTTGGAAATTTATAATTAAGTTAAAGGAAATAAGTCAATTAAGATATATATAATACATATGTATATATATACTAAACTTAGATGATGTGAATGTTTTAGCCACTAAATCATTTTTAAATTTCTTTCCCTATGCCCATATTATTATTAACCTTATTAACCAGCCCTTTCATTAACGTGCCTTTGTAAAAACTCTTAAAATAAAAGGATCGATCTAGAGACGAATGATGCATCGACAACAAAGACCAAACTGAATGTATCAGCTATAATGGAACTCCTAATAAAATTCATATATAACACTTATTTTCAAATATATAATGATTTTACGAAAAAGATTGTTTTGATGATCTCCATGTGGTCTTAAGGATCAGAAGCATTAAGTAAATTTGATCAAATGGCTATCATTAAAGAAGAATCGATCAAATTCATCATAAAGAAAGAAAAGAACCACTGACTTCCTCTTCTGAATGTGTTAATTACAACAGATGATATGCAACCAAAGTTTACAGAAAAACATACCACACCAATAGCTATTTAAATTACCACTGAAATCACAACATAAACATCAAAAAGAGAATTACCAAATCATTATGTTAGAGCTCAAAATACTTGCTCTAAGAGAAATGCATTTCAAGAAGAAAAAATCTGTGAACAAATCTTTTAACAGTCACTGAATTTTACAAGATTGAAGAAACGGAACAACAAAACACCATAAGCAATCCAGAAACGCTGACAAGAAGTTATATGAAGAATATAACAATATTATATGTAAGGCGCTTTACACAACAATTTAAAAAAATAGGAAATAAATGACTGATAGAGAAAGTTTTTTGTAGATATGCAGGACAGGTACGAATAAGACATAGCCAAATAAGTATCCACGGATCAACTGCGCACATGGCATTAGACACCAGTAATATTATTACTGGATTAAGGCTGTGAGAAAGTAAAAAAATCCTGTAGGCTTAATTCTAGGCAACAGGAAACACCCCATTAATAATTCCTAGTTCATTCATCATGGTTAATGTAAACGAATTTGGAGAAGGTACTAATAAAAAAATCCGTACTTGGAATGTTTGAAGTATGTTTGAAGAAGGAAAGACACACATCACCATTCAAGAACTGAAAAGACTAAATATCGACGTAATGGGAATCAGCGGGATGAGATGGCCAGGCTCGAGATAGTGCTGTGCACATTACTAGAATGGTCGCTGGGGCTGTGATCAGCGTGCTACCTCTTTCTGATAGAGTCATTTTGATGAAGCTGCAAAGTAGACCCATTAATAAGAACATCATTCAAATTTACGCTCCAACATCAGAAAAGCCAGGAGAGGATATTGTGGAATTCTACAGGCTTGTACAAAAAGCACTAAAATATCCCAAGAAGAACGAGCTTACCATCATTTTGGGTGATTTCAATTCTAAAGTTGGCAAAAGCAGATTAGAAGACATCGCCGGACAACACGGCTTAGGTGAGAAAAACGAAATGGGAGACCATTTTATCCAATTTTTGCCGGGAAGAAGATTTTACCCGTGCTAACACCTGGTTTAGACATCCCTCAAGACAACTTTATACGTGGAAGTCACCTGCAGATCCAGCCAACAATATCATCAAAAACCAGATAGACTTTATTCTCAATAACAAAATATTCAAGAACAGCTTGATTCGGCGAAGACCTTCCCAGGAGCAGACGTCTCATCGGACCACAACCCATTAGTAGGCTAGATAGAACTCAAACTACAGAAACTCATTAAAGGTAAACCCAAACAGAACCTCGATTATGACACTCTAAAAGACCCGTAGTTCGTCGGGAACGTAAGAGATGTGCTGAGGGAAAAACTAGAAACCGCTAAACAATAGGAACAAAGTGTAGAACAAAATGGAGTTATATCAAAGACGTCATGCTAAATGCGCGAAAAGAACATCTGGGAAAGAAAACAAGAATAAGAATAAAAACGGATGACTGATGACATTTTGCAGATAATGAATCAAAGGAGATTAATGAAAAACAGGGACGCGAAGAAATACTAAGAAATCAACCAAACAATTAAACAAGAAATACGAAGAGCCAAGAAGACATGAATGCAAGAAGGATATGAAATAATCGAAGAGCTAAAAGTGAAACACGATCGTATAAATATCCACCGAAAGATTCGAAAAGCTACTGGTCATTACGAGAGGAGAAACACACACCCCTCATAAACAAAGACGGAAACCTGACGACGGCAATTAAGAAGGAGTCGTACATCAAAGAACTTTTCTGAGACTACCGAGGTAACCTTCCAGAAATAAATTGGATGGCACGGCGTTAATACTTTAAAATGACGTGAAGGCAGCTTTAAAACAGTCTAAAAATGGTAAGGCCACAGTTCTGGACGAAATACCCATTGAACTTATTAAGTTGATGAGTGAAGTGGGCACGAAGGAGTTAATTGAACTGTTTAACGCCCTATACGATATTACAGCTAATCTGGAGATATATTCTTGTCAAAACAAGCCTTACGACAAACAAGAAAGATCAAATGACTGCATTATAAAATGCTCTGTAAATGCAATTATTTTTACGTTGGAGAGACCCCAAGATCACTAAGTTTGGGGATAAATCAGCATGAAACATACACCAAAAACAAAGATTTGGACAAATCACAGATAGTTGATTGATATAAGGTTGATATTGAATCACAGATATGCAAACATCCCTGGGACAATAAGCAAAAGTTACATTGGAAAGATGCATCAATAATCATCAATACTAATGAAGAAAAATTTGTAGCAAACTCATCAGCAGAATGTAGCAGGCTCTGGTTGCCAATACTAAAAGAAGAAGTCATCAACTAGAATATACCAACACTATTGGATTAATAGAAAGTCAGATACACATCATCTACAGTTATAAGTAATCCATAAACACACAATACATTATCATATAATAAAATACATACATAAACACACAAAACACGCGGCATAAGAATTTTCAACCAAATTCATGGCTATTTGCGTTCAAGATTGAGGACAAATAAGCCACCAGTTAATTTGGCAAACAAAAGAGTCAAAAATATTATAGGTTATAATACCAGTTCCCAAATTTAAAACAACATTTTTTAAAAACGATTTCCGGACCGGATAAAATTTTGATGTTTCTTCTTTAAGTTTCAAAGGATTTTACAATTTTTTTTTAATAAATACGCTTCGATATTATTTGAATGGGAATTATGGGTAGCGGGTAGGTACCCCTCTATGATCCGATAGAGGGTAGACTTACTTCAGGGAAATAGCGTCCCTGCCCACGCGAGCTCCTAGTTTTTCCTCCACTCCCCGCTTAGAGGAAAACAGGTCCAAACCCCAGTATTATCCTACCCTAAACCCCAAATTCCTTCCCTATATCCCCACCACACTCGCCAACCCGTCTTGCCAGCGTGGCGAGTTATGGCTAACTCACCCCAAATGAGTTTTAAAACAAGAGGATTTGGTCCCCAGGTGGGTGCTCAATCCCACACCTCTAAGGAGGTCAGCCTCATGGAATCTGGGGGAGGCAAAAACTCATTAAAACACCGAAAGCAACATATCTATATTGCTAGTTTCAATGCCAGAACCCTCAAATCACCCGAACGAATGGAAGAACTGGAAGAAGAACTAACTAAGATCAAGTGGGATGTCCTTGGTCTAAGCGAAACGAGACTGCCAGGAGAACAATGTACAATACTCCATTCAGGACACATGTTCTACCAATTCCATAATGAGTACAATACACATGTCGGCGGTGTAGCACTATTGATCCACAAAAGACTCAAACATCTGGTCACAAAATCTGCTGCAATCTCGGAGAGGGTCATTTACATCGTTCTTAAACTATCAGAAAGGTACAGCATCCAAATAATTCAAGTATACGCTCCCACTAGTCAATCCACAGATGAAGAAATAGAGAAATTCTATGAAGATATTTCTAAAGCAATGACAGAAAGAGCTCATTTTAAAATAGTCATGGGAGACTTTAACGCCAAAGTAGGGAAGCACAACACCGGCAACATACCAAATAGAGGAATATATGGGCTAGGAACTACAAATGAAAGAGGAGAACGGTTACTAACATACACACAGGAACAAAATCTATTTTGTATGAATACATTTTTTAGTAAACCAGATAATAGACGGTGGACCTGGATAAGCCCAGACGGGAAAACCAAAAACGAAATCGATTACATATTAGTCAACCAGAAACAGATAATAAAAGATGTAGCGGTGCTCAACAGATTCAGTCTGGGAAGTGATCATAGATTAGTAAGAGCAAAAATAATAATCGATAACAAATTAGAAAGAAACAAACTAATCTTGCAAAAACGAACCCTAACTACTAAAGAGCTTGGGCAAAACAGTACCAACTACCAGAAATATCTTGAGTCTAGTCTAGAGCCAATGGAACAGCTAAAAGAAAAAGACATAAATAATTTGGAAGAAACGATAAGAACGAGTATAATCTCTGCGATCAAAAAACCCATACGATGCCGAAACCGAAAGATAATAAATTGAAGACAGAAACACAACAGATGATTAGGGACAGAAGCCGCATGGATCGAAATTCACCAGAATATAAGGAACTTAATAAGGCAATAAGAACAAGAATTAGACAAGACATCAGGGACAACAACACCGAAAAAATCGAAAACATTATAGAGAAAAACAAGAATATGAAAGTGTTAAAAACGCTAAATAGCAAAGGCCGACAACAAATACACCAAATAAAGGATAAAAATGGAATCATTAGAAACGACAAAAATCAGATAATAAACATTGTCGAAGATTATTATACAGAATTATACTCGTCCAGCGTAGCAAAACCTGAAACCCATGATATGGAACGAAGAATACTAAATGTAGGATCTGAAACACTACCAGAAATTACTACCGAGGAAGTTGTAAATGCCTTAAAGCAAATGAAAAATGGAAAATCTCCTGGAGACGACGGAATAACAAAAGAGATGATTACAGCTGGAGGTCAAACTACTATGGAGGCAGTTAAAATCTTACTGAACAAGTGCCTATTCGGGGGTGCTATTCCAACCTCTTGGCAAAACGCGCAGGTACTTTTACTACACAAGAAAGGAGACAAACACAAACTCGAAAATTACAGACCAATAAGCCTGTTACCACATCCATACAAACTGCTTACCAAAATAATTACCAACAGACTATCAAACAAATTTGATAGTTACCAGCCTGTTGAACAAGCGGGTTTCCGCAAAGGTTATAGTACAATAGAACACCTACAGACAATAAGGACACTTATTGAAAAATGTAACGAATACAATGAACCTCTTCATTTGGCATTTGTGGATTACAATAAGGCATTCGATTCCATAGAATTCTGGGCGGTATTAGACGGAATGAATAACGCAAGGATAGATTCCAGATATAGAATGCTCCTAAAATACATATACGACAATGCAACTATGCAAATAAATGTAGCAGAAGGCCTAACAACAAACAAAATAAGATCAGAAAGAGGTGTTCGACAGGGAGACACCATATCTCCAAAATTATTTACTCTTGCATTAGAAGATGTGTTCAAGAAGTTAAATTGGGAACAACTCGGAATTAAAATTGATGGCAGGTTTTTAAGCCATCTAAGATTTGCCGATGACATAGTACTCATAAGCAACAATACAGAGGAACTAATCTACATGCTGAAGGAGCTTAAACAAGAATCTGAAAAAATCGGTTTAAAAATGAATTTAAATAAAACAAAAGTAATGACAAATCAAAATATCACAATCGACTTAGATGGAAGTGAGATCGAAAGTGTCGAAGAGTATATATACCTAGGTCACACCATCAAACTAGGCAAACAGAATCAAACAGCAGAGATAACTAGAAGAATCCGAATGACTTGGGCAGCAGTAGGCAGACTCAGTGATGTGTTGAAGAACAAAAAGATACCAATAAATCTAAAGAAAAGGGTATTCAACAGTTGTATTCTACCGGTCATGACTTATGGAATGGAGACCATGACACTTACAGAGTTGTCAGCCAACAGATTAAGAACAACACAGAGGGCCATCGAACGAGCTATGTTGGGAGTATCACTGAGAGAACATATACGAAACGAGGACATACGAAGCAGGACGAAGGTGGAAGATGTAATTGGAAGGATTGCACAAATGAAATGGAACTGGGTAGGGCACGTGGCACGGCAAAACAACGACAGATGGACGAAAAACATTGTACATTGGAGACCACGCGAACACAGTCGGAGTAGAGGAAGACCACAAAAACGATGGATAGACGACATCAAAGCAAAAATGGGGAGAAACTGGCACCAAATAGCACAAAACAGGGAAGAGTGGAGAACTCATGGGGAGGCCTTTGTCCAGGAGTGGATGCAAACAGGCTGAAGAAGAAGATTATTTGAATATTTTACTTATATTTTGTAATTTAGTTAAACTACAAATTAATATACTTACATGTCCATGACCTGCGACAACAACGCCAAATACGAACAAACAGAGAATTACTACCTACAAATAAAAATCATGTATGAGTTTACAATAAAATATACACAAAAATTTTTGCATTCTTCAAAAAGACTGTAGGGGAGAGTGAGCCACCTTAAGACACGTCCTAAAAGTTTTTTTACATGTATTCATGAAAGCGGTAAGTTGTTATCCTGAATACTTAAAGTTGGTATAAAATATTCCATATGTGATATTTTTAAAATGATATTGTTTCAACTGACCAAGTAAACTTTTTTTTATTTTCTGCTATGATAGTCTGTTTGTTTCTGCACGATGTTTTACAATATTAATGACTGTTATTTATAATGTATTATGGGCCTCCTTGAGACAAATATTTTGGGTCACCAAGGGACGTGTCTCAAGGTGGCCGACAATGTTGTAATCTACTCTGCAGTTATGCTTTTTTGTTACAGATGTCGCGCGGTCTAAAAGAAAATCTAACAAAGGATTATTTAGCACAGAGGCTATGAAAAGTGCTTTAAATGATATATTAAAACATAACTTTAGCTTCAGAATAGTATCTGAGAGACGTTAAACATTGAACATTAGCGAGATACGTAAAGAAAACTAAATAAGCTCCAAACGAGGTATTATTATATAAACCCCACTACGACACTTTAAGGTTAATAAAGGATGAACAAAAGATGAAGAAATATTGCTTAAAAATTACATAATTCAATGCAGCAAAGTGTCTACCAAAGACGTGAGGAAACTGGCTGTGTGTATAAAAATCTTTATGTACCTCAGAAATGGGAACAAATGAAGTCTGCTTACTTTACTGGCTTTACGGTTTCAGAAAGGTACATAACTTAGTATCTGCTAACCTGAAGGTTGCAGCTTATCTAGGCCTACATCATTTAATCATTGTAGTTTGGATACATTTTTGGGAAGTTTTGAAACGTTTTGATGGATCTTCTGGAGGAAAATGGATTTTCAAATTTAAATGAAACATCGACAAGAACTATACAAATTAAATAAAGATTTTTCCACCAAGAAAAATACAAAAAATCAATAAAATTACAAGCGACAAACGAGGTATGTTGGTTAAAATGTGCCGCACTACATATTTCAATAGGTTCGTAAATTTTACAAAAGTATGACTTCCTAAATATTTAGCTTTTTCTCTAATGTTTGAGGAACTGCACTACCCCTGTCATGGTCTTCATCAATCAGCTAATCGCGTCCACTGCTGGATATAGGCCACCCTCAGTTCTTGCCAGTGTTCTCTACACTGGGCCGCTTGTATCCAGTTTCCCGCTACACGTTTAATGTCATCGGTCCATCTAGTCGGTGGTCGTCCTCGGCTTCTTTTATAATTTCTGGGCCTCCATTCCATAATACGTCTTGTCCACCGTCCATCTTGTGTTCTGACTAAGTGCCCTGCCCAGTTCCACTTAAGCGTCGTGGTTCTTTCGATGACGTCTTGAACTCCTGATCTTCGCCTGATTTGTTGGTTTGTTATGTGGTCTCGAAGGCTCACGTTCAGCATTTCACGTTCAATGGCTCTTGGTCATGGTCTCGTGGCATCATGGTCTTACCAAGAGTTAATTTTAACCATCAATTCTTAAACGATGCACCTGCTGCTACATTAGGATTTGCAAATCGCCAAGGATGGATGAACTTTGAATTATTTGTAGGTGTTATGCAGCATTTTTTTTTTAAACAAATCCAACATTACTGATCTGGATAATCATGAAAGCCACTTCTCCACTGACACTTAATTTAGCAAAAGACAGTGACGGTACAACGTTTACTTTACCGCCACATTGTTTTAATAAATTGCAGCCACTGAATATACTAAAACAGTGTTATGGACTTATGAACAATGAGAAATCAAGAAAAACCAATATCAATTTTACAAAACGTGGAATATGTCATATATATGTTTAATAAAGCTACGACCCCCAGTAACATAAAGGCAGGTATCAAAAAATGCGAAATAGTACCTTTAAATCAATACATATTCGGTGAGAGTGACTTTTTGATTACTAACGTAACCGGGGGTAATACAAATCGTAAAGAATATCAACCAAGCTGCAGCAAAAATTTGACAAATAAGGAGCCTGCTTCTTATCACAACACAGAAATTGTAGAAATTAACAAGAAACGTCGGCTCTTTAGAAGTCCAGAACAATTATTTGGTTATCTCAAAGCAGAACAACGAAAAAATCTCAAAATAAAAGAAAAGGCCCAAGTAAAATTGTATCTGATACTTCCAAGGAGTTAGCAATCGAGGAAAAACATCACAAGAGAGTACTTTAGCTGTTGAACTATCATCAAGCAGTGGCACTGAGACTGATTTATTTGTATCTGGTTCCTCAGATGCTGAAATCTGAAATCATTCACATATTTTAAGTTTGGTCGTTTTCAGGATTTGCCTGAGATATCTTCTTCTTGGTGGAATTTAGTAATAAGAAATCTGTTTTTTATGTAGCGAAAATTATTGGAGTAAAACGAATTTTAAGTCACATTTTTGGGCCATAGTGCTAAAAGTAAAAACAGATTTTTGTTTCCCGCTGTTGCTGCCACCAATTCTTAATTGCGCAGTTACAAAACGTCACTTTTGTACCTGCATCTCAATAAAATAAAAGTAATTTATTTTATTTTGGGGTCGTTTGATAATATAGACATTCGCTGGGAATTTTGATTTAACTCGTTTTGTTAAAGTTTATGTATATAAATATTATTTAATTTTTTAAAATATGTAACGAATGTTTTAAAGAATGTTCATTGCTTTGGATTTGTCTCAATCTGACCCACTACTTGGACGAAGTTGAGACAAAAAAGTATTTTGTAATTACCAATGATTGCTATTTTTGTTTGATTATAAATAGATTCCATAATTATATTTTTAATTAAATTTTTTAAAACTAAATAAGTTAATGCTCAGTTTAAAGCCCCCCGTCCCCCCATTTAATCACGTATAATTAATGACAGATATATAATATATAAAATTTTAATCATGGAAAATTCAACAAAATAAAAAATATAATTTTCTTAATTTTTAGATCTTGAAAAAGCTTTGTATTTATTATTAACACCATAATTATTACAGAAAATCTCCTAGTTGTTTTTATAAAACAAATACATTTGCATGTATGCAAAATTGTAAATTTATGTAGATATATACTCACTGAATTCATTTTGTATATTCCAATATTTGTTGACACAAAACTGATACAAACTATGATCATATTTTTGTTTATATATCTTAAATATATATCCCCCTATTATATTTATGAAATTATTGTACAATAATATGGTCCAGTGCTTTGTTATTCTGTTTACCAAGTCGATTTAACATATCGTGAAGGTAAAAGCGATGCAAAGAAATCAAATATTAGGCCTGTAAAATTGTTTACTGTATCACTGCATAGCATAGTCATTTATTTAAATAATTTTGCTGAAATTCTTTTCATTATTAAACCTTTCAGTATTTAACTCTTAAGCCGAAATAACTTCTTCTTCTTTACTTTTCAAACTACGGTTGATGTTTTACATTTTATTAATTAAACTAAACAAAACTTTACAAGTAACCCAGATAGACTTAACAAGGTCTCTTACTACCTTACACTGGCAGCAACCTCTACAACTGTCCTAATTAAATTCTGTTACCTATTTTATAATATTAGTTAAACATTGACTTGGCACTTTAAACAAGGCATTTCAAAGATTTCTGGATACATAAATAAATTGGTTTTTACAAGCATTGATTTTTACACATTTATTTTTACATGTAGGTTCTAATGTTTAAATATGGATATATATTCCTACTAATTTAAGAAAACTTAAGGGTCTCTTCTAGACACTCACGTAGCATTGTCGACAGGTTAGACTTTTTCCTCTTATTTAAATCTGCTGGGCATTTCATTAAAATATGTTGTACACTTAACTCTAAGTAACTAACTATTGAAACACTTACCGCATTGGTAATTCCAGTATATTTCAGTAATATGGTATTTACGTGTTTACATACCTAATCTCAGTCCGTTTATTATAGTTTGGTCTTGTCTGTTGCTGCACTTATTCTTATATATTGGTATTGTTGTTTTGAAGCCACCGTTCATTTAACGTCGAGTTAATCCAGTAATGTAAATCTTTCTTGTATTTCTATGTAGTTTCTATTTAGTTTCTGTTAACTCTTCATTCTTAACTTAAGATTTGGCAGCAGTAACTACTCTTTCATTACCATATATGCGACGGAATTAACATATTTTTTTTACCATGGCATTCTCTTTCTAAAGTTGGTACAAATAGTTCTGTATTAATCGCAACAAGGGATGAGTTGGGTAAATGCTGCCTAAGCTCTTCATAGAACTTAAGGAACCTTATTATTAGGTATCTGTTTAAGTTGGCTTTCAGAGCATATTCTAATGGTTTGAAAGTTTGCGAATAGTTCTTCTATATGTTGATAATTCTGGTGCTTTTCAATCGTACTGTAAAATACTAGTCTTTGTAAACTCACGTCTAGGAAATGTTTTCTGACCATCCAAGTGGAAGCAGTTAATATATTGGTTTAATATATTTCCGTTTGCATAAACGGAAAATCAACAGAAATATGTAAAATACAAAGAGGTGTCAGACAGGGATGTATACTATCCCCACTGGTATTTAATTTATATTCAGGTAGAATATTTAAAGAAGCGCTGCATAATTTGGAATGGGGCGTGAAAGTTAATAGAATTCTGATAAATATAATCAGATGACATGAATGGATTACAATGCCTTTTAAATGCCATTGATAAAGTGGGAAGAGAGTTTGACCTAAACATAAACTGTTCAAAAACAAAACACATGGTGTTTAGCCGTTTAGCACATCAAGATGCACGATTATACGTTGATGGTCATGGACATTAAAAATATCCACGATTAATCGTCTGGAGGCTTTTGAGATATGGCTGCACAGACGTATACTAAAAATTCCATGGACGGCTATGCTGACAAATGTGGCAGTCCTTGAAAGAGCAAATGCTGCTCGCGAGCTGCTTGATAACATCAAATGTAGAAAGTTGACCTATTTTGGACACGTAGTAAGGGGAGACCGATATAATATTCTTCAACTTATTATGATGGGTAAAATCGAAGGACGCAGAGGAATTGGTAGAAAGCAGGCCTCTTGGTTGAAGAATATCAAGGAGTGGACAGGAATAAATAAAGCTGAGCAACTATTTAGAATAGCTCGAGACAGAGACAGTTTCACCATGTTAATCGCCAACGTCAAGGGGACTTGATAGGGCACGTTAAGAAGAAGAATATATTTTAGGTAAGACACTATTATTGCTGATCATGTATCTATTAAGTCTTTCATTAAAAGGGAGTTTAGACCTTTTCTTTTGAAGATATGTTGTGTGAAAACGAGAAGAGAAACATTGTTTCTGACAGAATTTTCACTATTTGGTAAAACGTTTGCGGCGTATGATAGTCTGAGATATTGTCTTCTTAATTCCAGTATAAAATGCTACCAAGGTTATTCTTACAGCAGCATTTTGGATTATTTGGTACTCTTTTAAAAGTAATTAACTGGTAGACCCACACACTATTGAGCCGTAATCCATCTAATGAGCCTTTTAAATACTATCAATAGTATATCTTGATCACATCCCAATTAATACTAATATTACATGCCATTATATATAATGCTTAAAATTTAAATGTTTGTAAAAATTAATTGCAAGAAATTTGATACAATGAACATATTCAATTTTTTTTTGAATGGACAACACTGTAAGTTCGGGAATACCAACATTACGTTTTCTGGTGAAATGAATACATTTACTTGTATTTTATTGGAATAAAATTTTGTACCAGATTTCATTTACCATTTATCTAATGCAAAAATAGTATTTTGTAGAATTTGCTCAATTGGTTATATGTTTCTTCCTTTACAATAAATTGTGAGGTCATCTTCGTATAGCCCGCAAAATCAAACAACAACTTTAAGCCATTGAAGACCATAATATAGAAGTAAAAACCAGCATAGAGGTTACTGAACAAACCTGGAAAACTTACTGCTAAAAATTATACAAATATACCTTAAAATATTCATCAGTCCCAAAACACAATGTTAAACCCAGCCCCAAAACACAAAATACAACCTTGTCTGACTCCTCGTTGTATGGATATTTCATCGGTGTAGTTACCTTCAATTTTTACGATAGCAGTTTGATTCCAGTACAAATTTTTAATGACACGAATATCCTTGTCATGTATTCCGATATTTTTCAGTATTTGCATTAATTTTACATGCTCTACTTTATCGAATGCCTTTTCGAACTCCATGAAACATACAAATACATATTTTTTTTGCTCACGGCATTTTTGTAATAGGATGTTAAGCGCAATAAGTGCCTCCCTGGTTCCCATATCATTTCTAAAACCAAATTGGGTATCTTCAAGATCTTGTTCGCATTTGCTTCTAATTCTGTTGTGAAGTATTCTAAGGAAAATTTTAAGGGTGTGGCTCATTAAGCTCTCTCTTCAATACTGACCCCCCAGGGGGAGTGTAGTGGTCGACATGATGTCGTGTATTGTCCGTCTCCAGAGATCTCTGTCTCTGGTCATTTCTTTTAATTCATGCATAGGTCTTAGGCATATTCCTGTAATTTGATCTATCCATATTGTTGGGGATCTTCCTCGTGATCTTCGGCCTTCTATCTTTCCTTGTATTATGAGTCTTTCCATGTTTTCTGTGTTTGCTCTCATAACATACCCAAAATATTTTAATTGTTGAAGATGGACTTTACTAGAGAGTCGTTGGCTAACTTTTAGCTCTCTTAAAATTGAATTATTTGTTCTGCGGTCGGTCCAAGGAATTCGTAACATTCGTCTTCAACAAAACATTTCAGTGGCGTCTATCTTTCTTCTCTCCGATTATCTCAAAGTCCAAGATTCACATCCGTAGGTCAGTATTGGGAATATTAAGCAGTTGATCAACCTCATCTTTATCGCTCTTGAAATTTGACAGTCCTTCCATATTTTGGTCAATTTTGCTGTGGCAACTTTTGCTAGATCACATCTACGTTTAATCTCTTCTTGTAATGATCCTGTGTTTCTGATTAATGATCCCAGATATAAGTATGAGATCACAACCTCGAACCGGTCAATTGTGGTTATGTGTGGATGATTGTTGTGTAGTATATCCACTATCATGATCGTTGTCTTTGATATGTTTAATTGCAGACCAAATATTTGACTTTCGTTTTCGATCAGTCGTATAAGTTCTATCAGCTCTGCTTGACTATTTGCATTACTATGGCTGTGTCATCTGCGAAACGTAGGTTGTTTAGTTTATGACCATTTATTGAGATGCCCTCCTTCAAGTGCTCTTCGCATAATATACTCCCCATATATGTTGAATAATTGTGGAGATAGTATACATCCCTGTCTGACACCCGTTCTGGGTGTCATTAATTCTCATTAAGCTAATTAATCGATATTCTGAGCATTTTCTGGCATTGTGTTTTTAGGTATTGCGACAAAGATGGATTTGAGCCAATCTGTGAGAATCACTCCGGTGATATATATTGAATTAAAAGTCTTACTACTACTTTTATGTTATCATCCTCTATTAGTTTCAGCACCTCAGTTGGTGTATCATCTGGACCACAAGTATTATTTACATCGCATTTCATAATTTCTGGTCCGTCAGTATAGTTTTGGTAGAATTAGGCAATATTATTTTTGTCATCTTTAAACAACTCTGATATACAGCTGCCATTATTTTCTTATTTCGTGCTCATTTACAAATATTTTGTTATTACTGTCAAGGAGTACAGAGGGAACTCGTTTTTTAAATATGTTACTCATGTCTTTTAGTTTTTTGTGGACATTAAATAAGTCGTGGATAGATATTATATCCTTCATTTCGTCGCACCTTTCTCTCATCCATTTTTCTTTGGCTAATTTGATCTTCTTTTTTGCAGGTGTCTACATTCTATTTTATTAGATTTGATTAGTCGACATTGTTCCATTAATTTTAAGATGTCGTCTGTTATCCATTTGTTTTTCTTAATTAAATTTTTTCTATAATCATTGTTTGTGGAGATTTAGTTAACTTGGTTTTTAAATCAGATCAGATTAAATCAGAATTATTTAGAATCTATACTGGAACCAAATGGCAAAGGTGAGTATTGATCAAGACCAA